GAACGAGGGTTGAGAGACACACGCATGCAAGGAGAGTGGAGCGGGATGCTCACCATTGCTTCTCGCTTCTCGTCCTTCTCCACCTTCCCTGGGATCTGCCAGCGCCATTCGCACAATACGACACAGCAGGGCACCAAAAGTCAGGAAAAGCTGGGAGGGATACAGGGAAGTGGGGCGATTCTTTTCTTATCGATGGTGACTCCAACATTCTGAAAGTGGCCGGACAACCAGGAGCCGCACACGCTGCCATCAGAGGAGTAGAAAACCTAAGGCATGCAGTGAGCCCACCATGAGGTAGTCGAGCAGGATGAGGCACTGCACGAGGAACTGCCGTCGGAAGCTGCAGTCCCGCAGCTCCAGCCCCAGCAGGCTCGCACTCGTCAGATACTTCATGTTGTACGCCCCCAGCATCTCCCCCACGCCTCCCACACCCCCCCCTCCCCCCGACTCCCCCCCGTCTCCCTTCCCTGCACCTCCTGCCCCCAAAGGTGCTGCACTCCCTTTCACTCCTCCCCCCGCCGCTGAACCTGCTGCTCCTGCTCCTCCCTCCGCCCCCGCCCCTGCCGCAGCTTCTGCCTCTTCCCCCGCCCCCGTCCCTGCCGCTGTCTCTGCGTCGGCGCCCAGAGGCTGGGCTTGGAAGGTTTCCAGCACGGTGCGCAGGTGCGACGAGAAGAGCGGCCACTTGGCCGCCACTAGAGGCGGGTTGCTGAAATACTCCTGGTGGGGGAGGTCGGCGTAAGGGGCGCCAGGAGGGAGGGGGTTGGGGGAGAGGTGGAGGGGCATGGGGGAAGGACAGGGGGAAAGACGGGACAGGGGGGAGGAGGGGACAGGGGGGAGGAGGGGACAGGGGGAGGGGGGGGGCGCGGTAGGGGGGAAGAGGGACGGGTTTGCTACTGCTAAAACTCATGTAATCTTACAGACTAGTAACTCGCGAGAGCAGTTGTCTTCAGAGCAAACCTCAGAACGAGGTTACCTGTGTGAAGCACACAGTGTGAGCGCACCTGCAAGCTCCAGAAGGTGGTGTAGAAGTTGAAGTCCAGAAGAGCAGCGCCTGTGCGCGTGCACATACAGACCAAGCACACAGACACAGGAGGACAGGGCATTGGTTCACAGAACTAGAACAGAATATGGACTTCTGGTTGAATTCATGCATTATCGCCTATCACCTCACCATCTCCAGCTATCAACAATCGGCTCACCATCCTGTGGGGGCTCTCGGGCGTAGTCGGTCTTATTGGACGTGTTGAAGGCGCCCTTGATGTTCACCGCTGGAGGGAGGCAAGGGGACGGTTGAGCCAGGGGAGCAGGGGAGTGAGTGGGGAGATGGAGGGGAAACAAGAAAGCAAGAGAAAACGTGGCACCAAGGAGGGGCAAGGCAAGGGATGGAAGGAGAGTGAAAAGGAGGAGAAGGAGAGTGAGAGAACTATATTTGAGGCGCCCAAAAAGAGGGAAAATGAGGAGGAGAGTGAGAAACTGAAGACTTCACAAAAAGAAAAGAGAGCTTAGCAGCAGTACAGACCTGACTTCTCAGCAATGGGGAAGAAGTAGGCGAGGAACATGAGCACTCGCCCACAGAACACCAGGTCGTTCGCCTGCAGGGACGCACACAGGGAGCAGACATGCGGACATGTGGACATGCGGACATGCGGACATGCGGACATGCGGACATGGGGACATGCGGACATGCGGACATGTGGACATGCGGACATGTGGACATGCGGACATGTGGACATGCGGACATGTGGACATGCGGACATGTGGAGAGGTAGGGAAGCAAGAGGAGGGCGGAAGCAGGGGGGAGATGAGTGGAGCGAAATGTGGTGCTCGGAGGAGAGAGAGCAGAGCGCAGGTCCCTGAAGAAGCACATTGCGCTCAGAGGGTGGGCAACAGGCCGTGCCTCCGTGACGCCTGCACCATGTCGCTTGCCGGCAAGATTGCCTCCCGTCCAGCTACCTTGCCAGGCGTCCAGCTACCTTGCCTGGCGTCCGGCTACCTTGCCTGGCGTCCACACCATTTCCTCACCCTACCCCAATGCCCCTCGACTGACTCCGTTCCCTCACCTTGGAGAGGCGCCTGACCATGTGTAATGACCATGTGTAATGACCATGTGTAATGACCATGTGTAATGACCATGTGTAATGACCATGTGTAATGACCATGTGTAATGACCATGTGTAATGAGTCGACTCAAAAATCGCCTCACCTTGGAGAGGCGCCTGACCAGCTGGTTGCAGGCGCGCAGCAGCACCAGCTTGCCCCTCTGCAGGATGTGCTCCTGCGGGACGAGAGAGGGGGCAGAGGAGAGGTGGAGAGCGGATGCGATGCGAGAGGTGAGGCAGAGGCGCAATAATGTATGGCAATAGGAGTGCACGTTCCAACACATAAGCCGGAACCATGGTCGTTTCTGACAGTGCTCATGCGGCATGCCAACCCTATCAACGGTGCTACACAGACAGTGCTACAAGCAGTGCTACACAGAGAGTGCTACAGGCTGACCTTGCCGAGGATCTGCTGCTTGGACTCGATGTAGGAGAAGACGAGCTGGCAGTCGCTGATGGGCGACTGCTCCATCAGGTCCTCCAGCAGCTGGAACACCACGCCGCCCTCCATGCGCCCCTGGGAGCACAGATGCAGCACCACGTCTGGCGGGGTGGGGGGAACACGGAGGGGAGGATGACAAGGCAGGCGAGGCGAGGGGGGTGCGGAGAGGCCGGCGAACGAGACTGGAACGAGACTGGAACGAGACTGGAACGAGACTGGAACGAGACTGGAACGAGACTGGAACGAGACTGGAACGAGACTGGAACGAGACTGGAACGAGACTGGAACGAGACTGGAACGAGACTGGAACGAGACTGGAACGAGACTGGAACGAGACTGGAACGAGACTGGAACGAGACTGGAACGAGACTGGAACGAGACTGGAACGAGACTGGAACGAGACTGGAACGAGACTGGAACGAGACTGGAACGAGACTGGAACGAGACTGGAACGAGACTGGAACGAGACTGGAACGAGACTGGAACGAGACTGGAACGAGACTGGAAGCGCAGAGAATGGGGGACGTAAATGGCCAGGTCAGGGGCAGACAGCGGATGAGGAAAGCGGTGCATAAAACCATCAAACCGTACCCAGCAGTCGAATGACTGCGGAGGCAGCTGTGGATCCCTGTGGCCCCTTGGCTTCTGTGCTTGCATCGTTGCTCGCATCCCCATCGCCATCCCTGCCGTCTGCACCAGCAGCGCTACCTCCCGGCCCTTCTGGATCCAGCATGGGGGCATGGGCGCTCGCCACAGGAGGCTCTGTTCGGCCGTATGCCAGCACGGACACGCCCTGCGCTGCTGCACTCTCCTGCTTAGAGCGCAATGCGGTAGACGGGGTGTGGGGTGGGGGGTTATGGATGGGATGGGATGAGAGGGGGTAACAGGAGGCTCGGTGTAGCCGTAGCCCGGGACACACACGCCCTGCGCGCTGCTGCGCTCTCCTGCCTGCAGTGAGGGCGATTGGGAATAGAGGTGGTTGGGGAGATGTGAATAGGGTGAGAAGCGGTAACAAGGAATCAAGTGAGTAGTGGGTGGGGTGGGGGGGGGGGGGGGGGGGGAGGGGGGGGGTGGACGGGAAGGGAGGGGGAGAGGGAGGGTGACATGGGGTAAGGTTCATAGGGTGTGTAAATTTCAATTTCATGCACGCTTCGTCTCACCACCCAGGTGACTTTTGAGTCGACTCAAAAGTCACTAGGGTTTGTAAATTTCAATTTTATGCACACTTCGTCTCACCACCCAGCCTCTCACTCACCACAACCCTCCTCGCCTCTCAGCATCTCACCACTCTGCACCTCACCACAGCCCTTCTCACCACTAGACTCTGCAGCAGCGATCTGAGGCCGATCTCCAGCAGCTGGTTCTGCTCCACCGACAGCTTGCCGTCCTTCTGCATAGGGCACAATAACGACGCATGCAATAACGAGGACAAAGGAGAGGTTATGCTTCACAGGCTTTGCTTGCCCCTTTCTGCTTTGCTTGCGAAAACAAGCGAGAAGGAGTAATCTGTAGATCGGCTGAGAAGACAGACAAGCATAGGACGCCCCAAGAGCCTGACAAGCTAAGCGCCTGTAACAATTCAATAGTAACTGGCTACCTGCGCAGGCGTCCCAGTTGCTGCGCTTCCGGTTCCCCCTCCGCCTCCCCCGCTCCCTCCCAGCTGCAACGCGTCCGCCAGGGTTGGCAGCGCCAGCTGGCTGGGGGGGAGGGGGGAGTCCAGCGCCTTGCGGAATGCGCTCTGGGGGGACGGGGGGACGGGGAGTGACGAGGGGAGGGAGTCATGAGAAGCGGTGAATTGAGACCCTTGCTGCACCAGGAACACGCGATTGTTCGACTCCCTTGTTCCGCATTCTGACGCGATCATTCCTCTGCAGCAAGCAACGGACACATTTCCTGTCCGAGAGGCTGTCTGCTTCGCAGACGACGCAGTCGCAGACGTCACAGTTTCGCAGGCTTCGCAGCTTTCGCAGCCTGGAATCCACCGCTCGACTGCCAAACCTAACCACTCACGTTCATTCCAGCCCTAACCGTTCGCGGACCCTTCGCTCGGTCTGTCAGCGATAAACACGGCTCCGCTTATCAACGAGAATAACCCGCTCATGACGAATGAGTATTCGCGTACCAGAATCCGTTGGTGCTCCGCCGTCACGAGACGGACGACGTCGGCGCTGTGGGCAGTACCATCCTCAGCTGGAGGCTGCTGTAAGTCGATCTCCATGGAGGGCGGTTCAGCGTTCGCCCGGAGATGAAGAAAAGCCGACTATCCCTGACTATGGATGGACCCCAGTTTGCGGAACTTGGATGTCGAGCTATCGCTTCAAGCAGATAGCAAGGAGTCGGTCGCTTGAGCAGGGCAGCAGCAAGCCGTGCGGAAATCCCAAGGTCTGTTGACCTAATCCGCGTTAACGAGTGACGCGGAACCACAATGCTAACAAGCTGGAAAACACTTTTATTTCTAATTTTGACGTGTGGCATACACTTCGACATCCTACTCCTACATGCGCTCGAAACACCTTTACACATAAGCATTTACCTGCGCACAAATTTGTTCATCTCTTTGCGTTCTAGAAAGGCGGCTCTTGAAACCACATGCACCAGAATGGAGGCCACCTCGTTCGGCTCAAACCTGATGCTACTGAATCGCCGCTTCTCAAATGGAGAAAGCAGCGCCTTCACTTCGTCCATATTAGGCACATCCTCTTCATATCCCGTGATGACATCTGGACGCACATCCGGCGACTTGGATCTTGAGTGTGACTCTGGGTTCCCATGTGTATTAACCTCCGACTTGCAAATGATTTCGTGGAAAAGCTGATGCGCGGACTGCGCGGTGCTCTGCTGTATGAACACCTGTATCATAGATGGGCAAAGCAAGAGAGTGGACGGGGACGGAAACCAAACCAGATGAGAGAAAATGATGCGTTAGCCTCAAGGGGTAGAAATGACCAACATGAGACTAACGAATAGATGTGCACACATACATTTTCTTGGCGTTGCAAGCCAGTGAGGTCGTGTATGGCCCTTGAGAGCAGCCTGTCATCCACCATGTGGTGCACCTGCTGCGATGCCCTCACCGCCAGCTGCCACGCATGAGGAGGGGGGGGGGGGGGAGGAGACACAGAATTGCGGGGAATGAAGATGGGGAGGGAATGGGACTGGCATTGCGCATAGTCCTGGTGAGCAGCTTGTCAATCACGATGTGGTGCGCATGCTGCGATGCCCTCGCCACCAGCTGCCACATGCACCCGAGGGGGAGCAGACACGCAGGGGTGGAGGATGAAAGCGAGGAGGGGATGGCAGTGGGGGGAGATGTTGCAAAGGGACGCTGCAGGTGACTGGGTGTATTTTGAGTCAACTCAAAATACAAAAGTCACCTACGGACGGCAGTGGGGGGAGATGTTGCAAAGGAACGCTGCGAGGAGGGCGCGGAATCACACTGACTTACGAGAGATGCCGCCCGGATAATATCCTCCTCTGTCGTGGCCCTCCATCCTTGTCTCTTCCGCCTTGTCCTCTGCTCGCTGCCGCTACCATGCGCATCTGCAGCAGCAAACACCACCGCTTCTTCCCCCTCGCTACTGTCACACTCACCACCGTCACTCCCCATGCTATCACTACTAGAGCCTTCCTCTCGCCCTGCCACCACACCTCCCCCACCCTACCCTCACCATCTCCCACCCCTTCAAACCCCTCACTCTCCCCCTCCTCCAATCTCCCTTCATCCCCCTCTCCTCCCTCCACTCCCATACCTCCTCCTCCTCCTCCTCCTCCTCCTCCTCCTCTCTCCCCCCTTCCTCTCCCCCCATCCGTCTGCGCCCCCCCCAGCGCGCCCTCCATGGCTGTCAGCAGCTGCCCCACATCTCGCAGCATCTGCTGCTCCTCCCGCCACTGCTGCCGCCACTCCCGCACCCTCCCCACGCTCCCTGCCACCGCTGATGCCAGGTCAGGCGTCAACACCGACCCTGCCCCCTCACTTGAACCCTCTGCTTCTCCTGTACCTTCCTCCCTCATTGTCAGTAATCCCTCCTCCTGACCTGCTACTCTCCCCTCCTGCTCCTTCTCGTTCTCCCCTCCACCCTCCCCTGCCCCCCCAAGTGTAGCAGCGAACCTGCCTACCCCCCCTCCTCTGCGCATCATCTCAGATACCACCTCCCCCAGTTGCCCCTCCACTGCTGCCAGCTGCTGCAACGCCACCTTTCTCCTCTCACTCATAGCCCCCATGGCCCCCCTCACTGCCCTCACCACCTCAAAGCCCCGCACCCCCTCCATCCCCTCCTCCCCTTCCCACCATACCTCCCTTAAACCCTCCCACTCCAGTCTTCCCGCCTCCCTCCCCCCTTCTGCCCTTTGGCTGCCTTCCTCTCCTCCCGCTCCACTGCTTCCCATGTCACTACTACCCTCTCCAGGCCCCTCTTGCTGCTGCTTTGGCCCGAACCTGCTTTCACCCCTGAGGCTCGGCGTGTCCTCAGCCGGCCAGTCCAGATCCTGAATACCAAGCCTCCTACACAGGTCTGGATGGGAGGTCTGGGCGAAGGAGATGGCGACACGTGCCGCAACGTGAGTGGACGGGCAGGAGGGGTGGGCGGCGAGGACAGCTGTCAGGAGGGCGAGAGGGCGGAGGTGGTGCGGCAAATCAGCGGCCGCCAGGTGGAGCGCGAGGAGAGCGAGCCACGTGGATGGGTGGCATGGGTTGTCGGGTTCCACCAACGTGTCCAGTTCCTGTAGCAGGTCCTGAGTAGGGGCAAAGGCAAGCAGCACAATAGAAGCAGAGGCCCAAGTGAAGGGGTGTGAGGGAGCATGGGGGGCGAGCAGTAAGGCAGGAAGAGACACCAGCACTAGACGTTGACATGAATGGGCTGGGGAAGTGGCAAAAGTGATGAGAGAGTGGGCAGAGTATACCGGGTTGAGACACATGGCATGCCTGTCAACGCGGATACCTGACGCATAAAACACGATGCCGGATGGACTCACAAAGAGCAGATCCGGCCGGTCTGAAGACACCTTGTGGGGAAACTTCTTTCCCCGCAGGTACTGCGCCTGGGAGGTGCGGGGGCAGGGACAAGGCACACGAGGAGGGGATGAGAGGCAGAGCGGAGAGGGTGAGGGGCAGAGGGGAGAGAGTGAGAGGCAGAGGAAGAGTGAGAGGAATAGCGGGTTGGGGGAAGGAACGGGGGGTGGGTTACCTGAAGCGGCAGCAGCAGAGGGAGCAGGTTGAACTGCCAGAGGATGCGAACGGACAGGTCAGATGCGCCATGAGACATCATCTGGACCAGCTCCATCTGCAGGCGAGACTGGGGGAAGCAAGAGAGTGGGGAGGAGAGGGAGGGAGGGGGAGGAAAGAGAGAAGGGAGGATGGTGAGACAAGGCGTGGCATGGCAAAATGGAAGGGAGAGAGAAAAGGCACGCAAGCTGGGAGAGATGGGCAAACAAGGCGGATACCGGAGGAGACACGTGGCAGCACCTGATTGAGTGAGGCAACGGCCTGCAGAGTGTCGGGTGCTTTGAGTGCGCGGTTGACACTCGTGCTCAGGCGGAAGCCCAGGCGCGCCGCCAGACGAACGGCTCTCAGGCAACGCGCTGGTGGGTGTGGTGGCAGGAGGAGATTCAAAAGGGGGAATGAAATCTGAAGGCAGATAGGTGGGAGGCGCGAGTACACAGGTATAATGAGCCCTTTTCAGATAAAGCAATACCGAGATGCAAGGGATGCAAGAAAGCATGCGAGTGCAGCAAGCATGCGAGTACAGCAAGCATGCGAGTGCAGCTCACCAGGGTCCTCCTGGAAGCTAGCTCGGGTGTCACCAATGACGCGCACCTGAGGACACGAGGGCACGAGGGCAAGAGGGCAAGAGGGCAAGAGGGCAAGAGGGCAAGAGGGCAAGAGGGCAAGAGGGCAAGAGGGCAAGAGGGCAAGAGGGCAAGAGGGCAAGAGGGCAAGAGGGCAAGAGGCAAGAGGGCAAGAGGGCAAGAGGGCAGAGGGCAAGAGGGCAAGAGGGCAAGAGGCAAGAGGGCAAGAGGGCAAGAGGGCAAGAGGGCAAGAGGGCAAGAGGGCAAGAGGGCAAGAGGGCAAGAGGCAAGAGGGCAAGAGGGCAAGAGGGCAAGAGGGCAAGAGGGCAAGAGGGCAAGAGGGCAAGAGGGCAAGAGGGCAAGAGGGCAAGAGGGCAAGAGGGCAAGAGGGCAAGAGGGCAAGAGGGCAAGAGGGCAAGAGGGCAAGAGGGCAACGAGGGCAAGAGGGCAAGAGGGCAAGAGGGCAAGAGGGCAAGAGGGCAAGAGGGCAAGAGGGCAAGAGGGCAAGAGGGCAAGAGGGCAAGAGGGCAAGAGGGCAAGAGGGCAAGAGGGCAAGAGGGCAAGAGGGCAAGAGGGCAAGAGGGCAAGAGGGCAAGAGGGCAAGAGGGCAAGAGGGCAAGGAGGGCAAGAGGGCAAGAGGGCAAGAGGGCAAGAGGGCAAGAGGGCAAGAGGGCAAGAGGGCAAGAGGGCAAGAGGGCAAGAGGGCAGAGGGCAAGAGGGCAAGAGGGCAAGAGGGCAAGAGGGCAAGAGGGCAAGAGGGCAAGAGGGCAAGAGGGCAAGAGGCAAGAGGGCAAGAGGGCAAGAGGGCAAGAGGGCAAGAGGGCAAGAGGGCAAGAGGGCAAGAGGGCAAGAGGAGGGCAAGAGGGCAAGAGGGCAAGAGGGCAAGAGGGCAAGAGGGCAAGAGGGCAAGAGGGCAAGAGGGCAAGAGGGCAAGAGGGGCAAGAGGGCAAGAGGGCAAGAGGGCAAGAGGGCAAGAGGGCAAGAGGGCAAGAGGGCAAGAGGGCAAGAGGGCAAGAGGGCAAGAGGGCAAGAGGGCAAGAGGCAAGAGGGCAAGAGGGCAAGAGGGCAAGAGGGCAAGAGGGCAAGAGGGCAAGAGGGCAAGAGGGCAAGAGGGCAAGAGGGCAAGAGGGCAAGAGGGCAGAGGCAAGGGCAAGAGGGCAAGAGGGCAAGAGGGCAAGAGGGCACGAGGGCAAGAGGGCAAGAGGGCAAGAGGGCAAGAGGGCAAGAGGGCAAGAGGGCAAGAGGGCAAGAGGGCAAGAGGGCAAGAGGGCAGAGGGCAAGAGGGCAAGAGGGCAAGAGGGCAAGAGGGCAAGAGGGGCAAGAGGGCAAGAGGGCAAGAGGGCAAGAGGCAAGAGGGCAAGAGGGCAAGAGGGCAAGAGGGCAAGAGGGGCAAGAGGGCAAGAGGGCAAGAGGGCAAGAGGGCAAGAGGGCAGAGGGCAAGAGGGCAAGAGGGCAAGAGGGCAAGAGGGCAAGAGGGCAAGAGGGCAAGAGGGCAAGAGGGCAAGAGGCAAGAGGGCAAGAGGGCAAGAGGGCAAGAGGGCAAGAGGGCAAGAGGGCAAGAGGGCAAGAGGGCAAGAGGGCAAGAGGGCAAGAGGGCAAGAGGGCAAGAGGGCAAGAGGGCAAGAGGGCAAGAGGGCAAGAGGGCAAGAGGGCACGAGGGCAAGAGGCAGAGGGCAAGAGGGCAAGAGGGCAAGAGGGCACGAGGGCAAGAGGGCAAGAGGGCAAGAGGGCAAGAGGGCAAGAGGGCAAGAGGGCAAGAGGGCAAGAGGGCAAGAGGGCAAGAGGGCAAGAGGGCAAGAGGGCAAGAGGGCAAGAGGGCAAGAGGGCAAGAGGGCAAGAGGGCAAGAGGGCAAGAGGGCACGAGGGCAAGAGGGCAAGAGGGCAAGAGGGCAAGAGGGCAAGAGGGCAAGAGGGCAAGAGGGCAAGAGGGCAAGAGGGCAAGAGGGCAAGAGGGCAAGAGGGCAAGAGGGCAAGAGGGCAAGAGGGCAAGAGGGCAACAGGCAGGAGAGAAGGCCACAACGAACAAGGAGGCGAGGGTTGCACTTGGTTGTAGACAGGAGAGGTACAAGAGAAGTGGTGGGAGGAGACGGCAAGGAGAGGAGAAGGGCAGCGTCGCAGGTAGCCCTCTTGTAAGCCCACTTACGGTCTGCTTGTACAGATCGCGAGTGCCGCCCACATAGTCATAGAGGGTGAGCCGATGGGGGTCATAAAACAACCTGCATGGAGGTGGGCGTGACAAGGGCACAGACAGTTGAATCCGTGCACACATGCATGCACGGCGCCCATTGATGCCTCGGTTACAAGTTACTGCAACACAAGTGTACCGATTTGGACTTCAAGCCACTAGTCCCACAGGCACAAACAAAAGCATCAAAGAGCCACAGCACCACAGCACCAGCCACACCACATCACCACCCCATGCGCCTTACGCGTTGACTGTAAGGTCTCGCTTGATGGCGTTCCTCCACCGCCTCTCATCGCCCTCCGACCACACGTACGAGTGCCGCTGCACCGCCGGCCGAACCAACTCGCCCCGCCAACCCAAGGGGGATGCTTCCGCTGCTGCTGCTGTAGCAGCAGCAGCAGCAGCAGCAGCAGCAGCAGCAGCAGCAGCAGCCGCACCACCATCATCCTCAGCACCAATAAGACCCCTTGCAGCCTCCTCTGTTTGGAGCAACCCTCCTGCTTCCCCTCCCCCAACCCCACCTGTCCTAGCCTCTTCCCCCTCCAGCACTAAACTGTCTCCTTCCTCCTCCCCCTCCTCAATCCCTGTCTCCCCCGCCCACACACCTGCCTCCGCACTACCAACCTTCACCAGAATCACCTCCCCCCAGCTCACTCTCTCTGCAAAACCCCCTGCCTCCTGTGCCCCGGCTAAAGCTACAAGCCCGCCTGGTGAATCCCCTGCAAGCCCGCCAACAACCTTTGTAACATCGCCATCAGCAGGCAACTCCACAACCCCATCGCTAGTCAAGCCCATAAGGCCATTGACTGCCGCTGAGGGCCCATCTGCTGCCGCTGAGGGCCCATCTGCTGCTCCTCCTGCCAGCGGCCCTTCCTCTGATGCAAAGGGTGCTGGAACAGCTGGTACTGCTGACACAGCATCGTCTTTTGAGGGCACGACGGGTAGAGTAAACTCGGTAGCATCGCTGCCGAAACTGGAAATCTGCACTCGTAGACGAACAGGAGGAGGAGCAAGAAGGTATAAACGAATCCATGCACGAAGAAAACCATGCGCGAATAAATCCATGCATATATCAAATCCAGACATGGATAAATCCATGCATATATCAAATCCAGACGTGGATAAATCCATGCATAAACACACCGATACATGAATGAATCTATGCATAAACACATCTATACATGAATCAATCTCTGCATAAACACATCTATACATGAATGAATCTATGCATACACGCATCGATACATGAATGAAACCATGCATAAACACATCCATGCATAAACACACCCATACGCGAATGAATCAAGGCATACACCGAGCCGGGGTAGTATGTCGGGGGGTGAGTGAGGCGCTAAACAGCAGGGGGACTGCACGCCCACGCGTGCATTTCCCTCCAGGCTCTCTCTGCGCACTCTCCAGCAGGCTTTAACTACGCAACCTCCCGCGGGCTATTTTGCAAAACCATGGCCGAGCTGGCGGGCTCATGGCCGAGCTGGTAACCCCATGGCCGAGGAGGTAACCCCATGGCTGTTGAACACTCACTCCTATCCCCAGCTCACATCTCTAGGCCCCCCCCACTCACATTCCCAGCCCCCCCACTCACATTCCCAGCCCCACCACTCACATTCCCAGCCCCCCCACTCACATTCCCAGCCCCCCCACTCACATTCCCAGCCCCCCCACTCACATTCCCAGCCCCCCCACTCACATTCCCAGCCCCCCCACTCACATTCCCAGCCCCCCCACTCACATTCCCAGCCCCCCCACTCACATTCCCAGCCCCCCCACTCACAATCCCAGCCCCCCCACTCACATTCCCAGCCCCCCCACTGACATTCCCAGCCCCCCCACTGACATTCCCAGCCCCCCCACTGACATTCCCAGCCCCCCACTCACATTCCCAGCCCCCCCACTCACATTCCCAGGCCCCCCACTCACATTCCCAGCCCCCCACTCACATTCCCAGCCCCCCACTCACATTCCCAGCCCCCCCACTCACATTCCCAGCCCCCCCACTCACATTTCCCAGCCCCCCCACTCACATTCCCAGCCCCCCCACTCACATTCCCAGCCCCCCCACTCACATTCCCAGCCCCCCACTCACATTCCCAGCCCCCCCACTCACATTCCCAGCCCCCCCACTCACATTCCCAGGCCCCCCACTCACATTCCCAGCCCCCCCACTGACATTCCCAGCCCCCCCACTGACATTCCCAGCCCCCCCACTCACATTCCCAGCTCCCCCACTCACATTCCAGCCCCCCACTCACATTCCCAGGCCCCCCACTCACATTCCCAGCCCCCCCACTCACAATCCCAGCCCCCCCACTCACATCCCAGCCCCCCAACTCACATTCCCAGCCCCCCCACTCACATTCCCAGCCCCCCCACTCACATTCCCAGGCCCCCCACTCACATTCCCAGCCCCCCCACTCACAATCCCAGCCCCCCACTCACAATCCCAGCCCCCCCACTCACATTCCCAGCCCCCCAACTCACATTCCCAGCCCCCCCACTCACATTCCCAGCCCCCCCACTCACATTCCCAGCCCCCCCACTCACAATCCCAGCCCCCCCACTCACATTCCCAGCCCCCCACTCACATTCCCAGCCCCCCCACTCACATTCCCAGCCCCCCCACTCACATTCCGCAGCCCCCCCACTCACATTCCCAGCCCCCCCACTCACATTCCCAGCCCCCCCACTCACAATCCCGCCCCCCCACTCACATTCCCAGCCCCCCCACTCACATTCCCAGCCCCCCCACTCACATTCCCAGCCCCCTCCCACTCACATTCCCAGCCCCCCACTCACATTCCCAGCCCCCCCACTCACATTCCCAGCCCCCCCACTCACATTCCCAGCCCCCCACTCACATTCCCACCCCCCCCACCCCAGCCCCCCACTCACATTCCCAGCCCCCCCACTCACATTCCCACCCCCCCACTCACATTCCCAGCCCCCCACTCACATTCCCAGCCCCCCCACTCACAATCCCAGGCCCCCCACTCACATTCCCAGCCCCCCAACTCACATTCCCAGCCCCCCCACTCACATTCCCAGCCCCCCCACTCACATTCCCAGCCCCCCCCACTCACATTCCCAGCCCCCCCACTCACAATCCCAGCCCCCACTCACATTCCCAGCCCCCCCACTCACATTCCCAGCCCCCCCACTCACATTCCCAGCCCCCCCACTCACATTCCCAGCCCCCCCACTCACATTCCCAGCCCCCCCACTCACAATCCGCGCCCCCCCACTCACATTCCCAGCCCCCCCACTCACATTCCCAGCCCCCCCACTCACATTCCCAGCCCCCCCACTCACATTCCCAGCCCCCCCACTCACATTCCCAGCCCCCCCACTCACATTCCCAGCCCCCCACTCACATTCCCAGCCCCCCATTCACATTCCCAGGCCCCCCACTCACAATCCCAGCCCCCCCACTCACAATCCCAGCCCCCCCACTCACATTCCCAGCCCCCCCACTCACATTCCCAGCCCCCCCACTCACATTCCCAGCCCCCCCACTGACATTCCCAGCCCCCACACTCACATTCCCAGCCCCCCCACTGACATTCCCAGCCCCCCCACTGACATTCCCAGCCCCCCCACTCACATTCCCAGCCCCCCCACTCACATTCCCAGCTCCCCCACTCACAATCCCAGCCCCCACACTCACATTCCCAGCCCCCACACTCACATTCCCAGCCCCCCCACTGACATTCCCAGCCCCCCCACTGACATTCCCAGCCCCCCCACTCACATTCCCAGCCCCCCACTCACATTCCCAGCTCCCCCACTCACATTCCCAGCCCCCCACTCACATTCCCAGCCCCCCCACTGACATTCCCAGCCCCCCCACTGACATTCCCAGCCCCCCCACTGACATTCCCAGCCCCCCCACTGACATTCCCAGCTCCCCCACTGACATTCCCAGCCCCCCCACTGACATTCCCGTCCCAGCCCCCCCACTGACATTCCCAGCCCCCCCACTGACATTCCCAGCCCCCCCACTGACATTCCCAGCCCCCCCACTGACATTCCCAGCCCCCCCACTGACATTCCCAGCCCCCCCACTGACATTCCGATTCCCCCCACGGACATTCCTTCCCAGCCCCCCACTGACATTCCCAGCCCCCCACTGACATTCCCAGCCCCCCCACTGACATTCCCAGCCCCCCCACTGACATTCCCAGCCCCCCCACTGACATTCCCAGCCCCCCACTGACATTCCCAGCCCCCCCACTGACATTCCCAGCCCCCCCACTGACATTCCCAGCCCCCCCACTGACATTCCCAGCCCCCCCACTGACATTCCCAGCCCCCGCACTGACATTCCCAGCCCCCCCACTGACATTCCCAGCCCCCCCACTGACATTCCCAGCCCCCCCACTGACATTCCCAGCCCCCCCACTGACATTCCCAGCCCCCCCACTGACATTCCCAGCCCCCCCACTGACATTCCCAGCCCCCCCACTGACATTCCCAGCCCCCCCACTGACATTCCCAGCCCCCCCACTGACATTCCCAGCCCCCCCACTGACATTCCCAGCCCCCCCACTGACATTCCGATTCCCCCCACTGACATTCCTTCCCAGCCCCCCCACTGACATTCCCAGCCCCCCCACTGACATTCCCAGCCCCCCCACTGACATTCCCAGCCCCCCCACTGACATTCCCAGCCCCCCCACTGACATTCCCAGCCCCCCCACTGACATTCCCAGCCCCCCCACTGACATTCCCAGCCCCCCCACTGACATTCCCAGCCCCCCACTGACATTCCCAGCCCCCGCACTGACATTCCCAGCCCCCCCACTGACATTCCCAGCCCCCCCACTGACATTCCCAGCCCCCCCACTGACATTCCCAGCCCCCCCACTGACATTCCCAGCCCCCCCACTGACATTCCCAGCCCCCCCACTGACATTCCCATTCCCCCCACTGACATATCCGGCATCCCCACTCACATCGACGATGGAGTTTTTGAGGAAGACGCGGCAGATGGGGAAGCGCTTGCCGATGACCATGGGGCGCCACTTGCGCTCGCGGAACACGCGCGCCACCTGCGCCGGGGACGCGTCCACTATGATGTCCACGTCCTTGGGCGTGCGCCCCAGGAACAGGTCGCGCACTGCGCCGCCCACCAGGTATGGCTCCATGCCTGGGAGTTTAGGATGACCGGGTTCAGGGTTTAAGGGTTAGGGAATTTGGAGGCCTCCACAATGGTGTCCACGTTCTTGAGCGTGCGCCTCAGGAACAATTTTCGCACTACACGCCCTACCAGGTAGACGCAGGGTTTAGGGGTGAGAAGTTCAGGGTTTAGGGTTCCGGATTTCGAAATGAGAGGACGGGCCAGTGCCTCTGGGTAGTCTGTATGAATCCGAGAAGAGAAGAGCGAAGCGGAAGGAGAGAGAGATGGAGCGGAGGAGAGAAGGAGGGTGGAAGGGAGCGAGGAGGAAGAGAGTGTTTGGAACGTGAGAGCAGGCATGGGCACGCACCCGCGTCTTTGAGCACCCTAAACGCGATCCACGCGTGCAACGGCAGGCTGCCACGTCGGATCGGATGCTCGAACTCCCCGAACACCCACGCGGGCACGCTCTTCTGCCTGCGCCTCTCCTCCGCCTCCCACCACCCGCTTCCCCCGCCTCTGCCCCCGTTCTTCCGCCCACCGCCCTCCGCGCGGGTCTGCGCCTTGTGCTTCTCCGCTTCTCCCTCCGCCGCCGCAGTCTCTGGCGCACGACCTTCCGCCACCCGCGGCGCCTCGCCCGCATCCGCGGCTGGCGCAGCTTCCGCGGCAGTCGCCAAGCCCCGGCGCCCCCGAACCTCTAACTCCAGCGGATTGCACTCTCGGCGGAAAATCCCGCCGTCCCCAGTGGGCGCGCCACTGGGCGGAAGCCATGTGGGCGGAGAAACAGCGCTTACGTACGCAGCTGAAGGCAAGTACGTACTCAACTGCGCGGTTTCATATACCTGTTCATCTTGTGCCACGTGGCTCGTACGGCCGACTGTAACCGCCCACGTGGTGTCGCGCTGTCGTCGCACGAGTACCGCGCGTGAGGCGGCACGCGAGAGGAGGTGACGCTGCATGCCTAAAGCTACATGACCTAGCTGGTCCTAGGGGCTCTCAAGCCACACCCGTCAGGCGTCGCGCGCGTTATGAATCTTTCTGGCGTGATTCCCGCTCGAGAAGCACTGGAGCGACGGTGTTGGCCTGGCAACAGAAGGGTCGTCTGGTTGTGGTGGCCACAGTATGGGTCTTGGTCTAATAAGATGAGTGGATCTGGCGTACGCTCTTCAGGGAGACCCGATGGAAGATGGAGGGCGTGGATGGCGTGTCTTCGCTATGGTTGTTCCGGTATCTGAATGCAGGAATCTCATGGTTAGAAATTGCTCTAAGTACCTAGTGAAACCTCAGGTCTTATTGTGAGAAATGCAAGGCCTTACCAAATCTGATGGTGTTTATTCTTCAATGGTTTAGGCACTCGGCCAAATCCAAAACAAGCTCTATTCTAACTTGACTCGTATCCCCGTCCCTCACTTGCAACTTCACCACCTTTTCTCTATCCCAATCCACCTGATGGACAAATGGGTCGGGTGGGAGCCAGGGGGGCCGGAGGAGGTGAGTTTGGGGACAAGCAGACCTCAGAACGACGTCAGCAACAATGTGCTAAGTTGCGCTATACTGTGTCGCACCACGGGACGCCCAAGCCACACCCCCACCCGCTCACCTCCACCATGCCGAAGGACGGCGCAGGGGCCACAGAGCACTCCGAGGGGTGGCGCATCTTGAGAGGGTCATGCGTCCATGCGTTGCCTGCACACAGAAGCGGGAGATGAGCGCACCTCAGTATACCCAAAACCCGAAACCCGCAGGCCATTGGCAGTTTACAGGGTTCTAACGCGCCTCAGGAAGGATGCATTTGTCGGCAAGCAACGACAAGCAGTGCCAAGCAGCGGTAAGCAGCGGGAAGCAGCGGCAAGCGGCGGCCAGCAGCGGCAAGCAGCGGGAAGCAGCGGCAAGTAGCGGCCAGCAGCGGCAAGCAGCAGCAAGCAGTGGCAAGCAGCGGCCAGAAGAGGCAAGCAGCGGCAAGCAGGGGGAAGCAGCGGCAAGCAGCGGCCAGCAGCGGCAAGCAGCAGCAAGCAGTGGCAAGCAGCGGCCAGAAGAGGCAAGCAGCGGCAAGCTGCGGCCAGCAGCGGCCAGAACTTCAAACCGGCGAGATTGTGGAAAGCTGGACTAGAGATGCGAGGCATGCTTTGAACGTTCCCTAGAAATCAGTGACTCACCTGGGCTGCATGAAGTGTCTATCCGTGGTCTCCTTGTCAGGCCACTTGCCATCACCTGCCACTCCAAACGAGGCAGGGAGCCAGAGAAGTCGAGACATTTTTTAAATTGAAAAGATTGTAATGAACCGCAACAAACGAACCAACTCAATTGAGAATAGACAAAGAATATGACAGATCGATTGAATGGTACACGCCCGTCACCGCCCACCGCGCGCCACAGCCCGTCACCGTCCCTCACCGCCCATCAGCGCCCGCCACAGCCCACCGCCCGTCACTCCCCGTCACCGCCCGCCACCGCCTGGCACCGCCCGCCACCACCCGCCACCACCAGTCACCGCCCACCGCCCATCGCCGCCCACTGCCCGTCACTGCCCACCACCCGTGACCGCCCACCGCCCGTCACCACATTACTCCCTGCTTGCAGCAAGCCGCCCTGAACCCCCCTCACCTGGTAGATGGGGCGGCAGTGCCCTCACCTGGTAGATGGGGCGGCAGTGCCCTCACCTGGTAGATGGGGCGGCAGTGCCCTCACCTAGTAGATGGGGCGGCAGTGCCCTCACCTGGTAGATGGGGCGGCAGAGCCCTCACCTGGTAGATGGGGCGGCAGTGCCCTCACCTGGTAGATGGGGCGGCAGTGCCCTCACCTGGTAGATGGGGCGGCAGTGCCCTCACCTGGTAGATGGGGCGGCAGTGCCCTCACCTGGTAGATGGGGCGGCAGTGCCCTCACCTGGTAGATGGGGCGGCAGTGCTCTCACCTGGTAGATGGGGCGGTAGTGCTGCGAGCTGCGGTAGAGATCCGTGTACGCCCGCCCTGGCCCTGGCCGGAACACCTGGTCCCACCAAGCAATAACAAGGAAAAATATTGAAAAAACTGCTATGCGCCCTCAAGATTCGACCGAGTTTATGTAATCCATTTGTCGAAGAATCACACGAAAGACACTTTAGATGCTCACCTTGATGTCAGAGAACCCCATGTCTCCTTATGAATGCTCACCTTGATGTCAGAGTACCCCATGTCGCCTGTCAGCAGCACCACACACCCCCTCTCTGCCCGCGACAGCATCTCCAGGAAGTGCAGCTGCGCCGGCTTGTAACACTCCCAGTCGTCCCCTGAGCACGTGCACTGCGTTACGTTGGTAACTGGGTCCTCCACGAAAGGTGCGACAGGAGGAATGGATGCTGAAGGGGCCTCTGAAGCCGAACCATTGGCAGCAGATGGAGCTGCCGCCAACCCTGATGCAGCTCCTGCCAAGCCTGTCAGCTCCGGTTCGGCAGGAGGTTCGGATCCATAAGGTCCGGTAAGCGTGGCAGCAGTGGAAAGTTCCTTGGGGAAGGGCGAGCAGGGCTGGGGCAGAGGATTCGTGAACACAGGCGAGGGCGACACAATGATCTTGATGGGGGCAACCGAGTCCTGCAGCTCCTCCTGCAGCCACAGGCGCTGCTGGCGGCCCAGCACTTCGCAGTACTGCGAGTTGTGGGGCTCGGGCTGCTCCTCAATGTACACGTCCCACAGTGCCACGTCCTTGCCCTTCTTGCGCACGCTGATCTTCTGCGACCCAAACGCCTCCTGCGCCGGGTTGCACGCCTCTTCCCATAGAGAGTGGTTGCGGTGCGCCTCGTGCCCGCACCACGCTGCTCTGTGCCAGAGGGGGGTGAGGTGGGGCAAGGCACAAGAAAGCGAGGGGAAGGGAGGAAAAGGGAGGAGCCACGGAGGTTGGAGTTGCTCTTGGCGTCCCTAGATTCGCCGCGTGCCTTGCCTTGCAGTCCAACACGCACTCTTCCTAGGATGCACTTCTTTTTTCATCCTCGTTAGTATCTCACCTTGGAACAGCTTCTCGTCCTTGTCGCAGCAGGACCACCGATTCCGAGCCACCTCTCGCCCGAGAAAGTCACCGCACCTGCATGGCAGGTATGGAGCAAAACGACGCCTTTAAAGCACACATGCCCGCGAATGTGTGTAAAGGATGCTCGGGAGCAGAACTCTCTTCCCCCTCTATTCAACAATACCACCATACTCCCATCTCTCCTACCCTCTCCCCCCCCCCCCCCCCCCCACTCTCACCATGCCTGCCAGTTGTGCGGTCTATCCAGAACCATCACGGAGGAGCAAAACCCCCTCCGTCCTCCACCCCCATTCAACACCAACCAGCCTCTCCTGCCACACCCAATTCTCTCACTACCCTCGCCCTCCTCCAGCCCCACCTCAACCAGCCCAGCCCTACCTGCAACTCGCCCCTCCCCCCTCTGCCCAGCCCGTCTCTTCAGTCCTCTCACCACGAGCGCCAGCTGTGCGGTCTGTCCAGGTCCATCACTGACGTGCAGAAGTCTCTGCGGATGTGGCACGGCAGGTTCTCCCGGTAGTACCGCTCGTCCAAAAGGAACACGTCTATCTGCTGACCTGGCAGCGCCTCGTTCAGGTGGTACTGGCGACGGGGGGGGGGGCGGGGGGGGGGGGGGGGGATGAACAAGGGTAGGGTATTACACAGAAGGAGAAGGGGAAAGGAATGGCGACACATAGCAGACAGCAGAGGCAACACGCACAGACCGTGATGCAATAGTCCCACCCACTGACACAACCCTAAGGTCCAGCACCCGCCAGCCTGCGCCCCTTACCACGGCCTGGATGCCGTCGCCTCTGTCGCGCCGGGGGTCCTCCTTGGGCGCGCCCAGGGCGTCGAGGAAGACGGACTTGAGCGGGTCCTTGTGCATCAGCCGCTTGTACCCGTGCGCCCTGCGCACACAGCGTGCAGGTGGCGTGCAGGGAGCGAGCAGGGAGCGTGCAGGGATCATGCAGATAGACACACGGTTTGCAGACAAGGAGGCTGGTTTAGTCTCAAGAGTTTCCTCGAACACTATGAGAACACGCACACATAATGGGGCACTGGAAATGAGCAGTGTGACTGGTGTAGCCTGGAGGCATGATCACGAGGGAGCGTGAAGCAACGCACCAGCCAAAGTCTCTGTCATCATAGACCCCCAGGATGTGGCGAGGGCATGAGGACGGGTCAGACCCGTCAGGTATCGGGGTGGTGTTGCTTGGCTTGTAGCGCGGACACATGAACTGCAGAAACTGCAAAACGCTCACGCAATGCACACCCACCCAATCCAGCCCACCTCCCCCCCATACATCCAAAGCACCCCACACTCCAAGGCACACCACACACCCACCCCTCACCCAGTCCACCCCCTCCACCCCAACGCCAGACACACCGGCAGGGCATGTGCACTTGCTGAGGACAGCCCATCACTGGATTGCTGCTATTCAGGTAACAGGCAAAGAGGGGTTTAGGCTGAAAGACGCAGTGCGGAGCAGAGCAGACAGCATGGGCGGAGCAGGGTGCTGATGTGGGAAACAATAGGGAGCATAGGGATGCGGGCAGGTGGCCATACTTTCACATAATCTGGGTTCTGTAATTGTTGCTGCATTCTAGTGATGGCGTACTTGCTGTTTCCTGGGGGAAGGGGGAGGTGGGGGGGGGGGAGGGGGGGAGAACGACGAGGTAATGGAGACATGACTATGTGGAGTGCGGATAAACATCAGAACGCGGCGCTTAAGCTCTGAACTCGGTGATAGCAATTCTGATGAAACACACGAAAATAAAAACATTTCACTACAATGTAGGGACTTGAAGTTTCGGTATAACAGACTCGTTCTAGGTACAGTTCAGCTGCTCACCTCTGACACATGACATTCCCTGTTGTTGAAACCAGTCGCTGGTACAATTACATTGCGGATGTAACGGCCACCGTGTACAGTTCACCTCGGGCTCGTCAAGATACGCCATGTCACCAAGCCTGATCAGACGCCACGTAGGACAGAGAGAAGCCGAAGTCATAAGCTATGAAAATTAGGGTTTCCGAGCAGACGATCGGAACTGGAAATTTAGGTTTCTAAGCGACGCTCGCGTGACTGAAGTTAGGGTTACATGAAGAGTCAATCCCACGGGCGTGACGTGGCTCACCATATCCACACGTCAGGCGACGACGGAATAACGCCTCGCGTCCAGACTGGCTGTGACGTGTTCTCCGGAGTTGTTCCCGACCCGAATGCTATTCTACGTACTCGTCGGGTGGTTAGAAACGCCCAGATCGCTTTAGGGTTACCCAGAAAGGGAGCGATCCCTGACAGCAAGAACGACGACAGAGCTAACGCGATGACAAAGGCGAAGACTAAGAACCGTAGCATCCGCCATGTTTTCGGAAGCATGAGCGGCGGTCGGCGGGAGAAGGACGGCCGTTGCTTCGGCCTGTGCTTGTGCTTCTGGTTCGTCGCCTCGCTCTGCTTCTTGTGACTCGCCGCCAGAGTCCCTCCGCTTCCCATCCTGCCGGTTGCTTGCGAGTAGGAGGGCGAGAAATGAGCTCCGCTTGAAAAAACATGTGTGTTGTCTCGACTGGTGCCAATGTGTAAATCCCCATTTCTATGTCCTGACGACATGGAGCCGATCCCCTCAATATACGCAATTCTTAAGATTGCCGATCCGTACACTTATAAAGGTATGGTACGGGTTACGGTGGTTCGGTCAAACGATCTGTCGCGACTTGCCAAGAATGGACAGTACCTGACGACAGCACTAACACCGTAAATGTCTGAAAAGGAAATCCATTCCTATGCTGCGACCAAGGAACCAGAAAATCTTCTATAAGAACGAGGCCTCAATGCAATGGTAAGTGGATCGAGAAGTACAGTATCTAGTTCATGCCCTCCTCACTCCCCGTGTGTGAGGCAACAGAGTTCGCAAGTAGCCTGCAGCGAAGACATGGCCGCCATTTTGTGGAGACAGCCTGACCTTGTCTCCAGGGAAGAATCAGGTGAAGCCCGCGAAGCGCTGCTACTGGTTGACAGAGACGAACATCCACGACTAGGTGTTACGTCTAGGCGAAGTCAACGAGGTACTGTAAGTTGGAGCTCAGAGGTGGCTCAAATTTGCCGTTGCGATGCGATGCTTGCAAGACTGTTGCCAGGGAACGTGTGTGTGTCTCATCACGTTCGCGCAGCAGTAACACAGATATACTCCGAAAGGATGCCTCGCTAAAAAACAAAACGTGTTCTTACACTCTTATTACACGCATCACATACGAGACGCACAAAATGTAACGTGGTTGGGAGGGACCTTGGAATCGCCGAGAAGCCGGTGCCGCTTCTCGCAGTGAAAGGTCATCCAAAGCGGGGGGCAAGATTCTTCTGCGCGTGCGTCATTTCTGCGCTGTCCCGTCGTAACCCGTTGCATTTCGCCGCTGATCCCCTCGTTTTCGCAGCGCTGGCATCACAGCGCAGCATGTGCAACTGCCCGCCACCGCAATCCCCCGCAATCCGCATCACCCCAGCGTCATCCCACCAAGTTCCGACCCGAGGGCTTTTCCGTAGTGTACCATTTCAGCCAGTTTTGGTCAGGAGGGCCAGGTTCAGGGGTGGATTCTGGAGCGAGTGTAAGACCCTCGGGCTATGCTCTGAGATCCGAGGCTGGAAAAAAAATGCCTCGGGTCTTGCGAAAAACTGACGGCTCCAGCCAGTCAGCTGTCAAACCGTATAACCATCAGTGTCGTGCAAATATACTTCCGCCAATAATAAATTCGCATATTTCTGGTGGACTCGCAAAGTTCGGCCAGTATAGTCGCAACCCTCCCCTTGCGACAACTCGCGATGGTGTAGCCGCTACACCGTCAAGAATATAAAACTTGCAGTTAGGTTGTGGCAGCCCGCGGCTCCTTCGGCCGCGGGTCGACCTCGGGTCTGACACTCGCTCTGGAATAACAATAACCCGTTTTTAGGGACCCGGATGCATCTGGATTTTCCATTTGGGGAATCCGGAGAAATACATCCGTTCGGAATGGCAGGTGGAAAATAGGCAGAGAACATAGTCACATGTCTTAGGGCGTGTCACTAAAGTAAGTCCGATTGCGGTTCGCAAGGATGTTTTGCGTCCTAAAACGGTAAAATAAGTTTCTAGAGAGGTTTAGTATGGTATTTGACCAAAACGATTTTTGGCGACACGCCCTTAGGTTGCGAGCTTTGTCTCACTCAAATTTGTGTCACATACCAGCGTCCGTAGGAAAATTTGCCTCCATCACGAATCTCCGCAAAACGAAGGCTCCTACGAATGTGCCCTGACACTTGTATCGTCAGCTGTCCGCGAAGAATTTCAGTCACGGGTGTTTTAGAATTTCAGGTTTGAATCCAGATTTGAATCCTGTACGGATGTTTTAGAATTTCATCCGGAAAGTGTCCGGCCAGATCCTATCCACCACAACTCCCCCACAATCCGAACTCCAGACGAAAACATCCCGATGTCGAAGAATTGGGGATGTGCACCCTGCTACAGTACCGTGCCATTCGTGCCCTTGGCTGTTTGCCGAGTCGCGGGTCGTGCAGACATTCAAACGCGAAGCGCAGCCGAAGGGCCAAGCAAGAGTTGGTTGGTGAGCTGTGTTGTGAGCTCGTCTGCTATGGACTGATCATACAGGTACATATAGTTTCCCTCACCTCACCATGGCTGTCATTTCATACATAGCTGGATAGCGAGTAGTTGCTGTTGTGTGACACTTCGTACCTTGTACTAACTGACGCACTTAGCTTGAGCAGCCTCGGACAACGTCCTCGCAAGGTAGACTCCATTCTTGAGCCACGCATTAGTTCCACTTCCTCGCGAGCGGCGTTCCTTCTTGCGATTCAAAATGGACTTCGTAATGCGAGCATCGTTAGCGGATCCGTCTATATCGGGGCCGCCGATAAGCAGCAGTTCAGCGGACGAGAGGCCGCCATTGCTGACACCGGAGCAAGGGCGGATCGTCCGGGAGACATTCGCGGAGTTCGTGCAGCCGAACGTGGACCAGCACGCCATCATCCTCTTCCTCATGTGAGCAACTCTCCCCCAAGCCCAATCGCTCGCTCTTTTCCCTCTCCCCTCGTCCACGACCCGTCTCTGCCCCTGCGTCAGTGCCGCTGCGTCTTCGCGCACTTCGAGCCCGTCGGCTTCGAGCTCGTCGGCTTCGAGCCCGTCGGCTTCAGACGTTGCCCTTCCCCAAATGCACCCTTCACCCGGACCCGGACGTCTCTCTCTCGCTCACTCACGTTTTTCTCGCTCGCCTCCTCCCCCTCCGCTCACCAGTGTTTTCGACATTTCCCCGGACGGGCGCAACCTCTTTTCGTACGTGCGCAACTCGGCGGAGCCCGCGCCGCTGAACGCGCGGCTGCAGGAGCACGCGACGCACGCGTTCGGCCTCATGTGCGAAGCGATCACGCAGATGGACGACGCGGAGGCCGTTGAGAAAAAAGTCACGCCGCAATTTATGTCGTTGGGGTGTAGACATTTGAATTACGGTGTAGCTGCTGACGATACACCGACTTTCAGAACGGCTTTCTTGAAAACGATGGGGAAGGCGATGGGGGTTAGGTGGAGGGGGGTTGTTGAGGATGCGTGGACTCGAGGGTTTGACCTCTTAGAATATATAGTGTGTAAAGGCATGGACTAATAGCGTTAGTTAGTCTGGATGAATAGGCTGCTTGCTTGCATTGCAGTGTACATTAGTCGTTGAAGCAACAATCTTGCCGAAAACGTGCTCGTTTTCCCTCCCACCTAACGTCAGCTTACTTCACGGACACCGTAGGCGTTTTTCTTACTCGAGAGGTTACAAATAACGTGGAAAGTAGCAACATCATAAGCATGACCCATCGTGTCCTTCTATTGCTCCTGCATGTGTAATGGTGTAGACTATGCGGGGTATCCCTCCTACTCTGCAATGGCTCACTCACACTAGTACCGGATGGGTCCATCCAAACTGCCCACCGCAAACTGCAGGGGGATGTGGGAGCAATAAAGGAAACAGAACTGGTGGTCAATGGTCATGCATACAAGCCAAGCATTCAGACAGCATCGCTGATGCTGAAGCTGAAAGAGGACCGAATTGGCTTGCATTGAGTTGGCTGCCATGCACAGTATCGGTCTCACCTGTCTCACTATGGGGTTGTCCGTGGTGTCAAACTCCTCTGTGGGTCCCTCCCATACAACCTCCCCTCCATACAGGAACAGCAGCCTGCAGAAGGAACACATACAATCACTCAACATGTAAGCAGACTCAAACTGCACAAGGAACACGGCGGGGGAAGCCAAAGTGAAGGGAGAAAAGCGTGGTGGAAAAGGGGAGGAGGGAGCAGATCTAGCCAGCATGCTGACCTGTCAACGGCTCGTCGGATCGTGCTGTGCTGATGTGTCACAACAATGTACGACGACACCGACGCCATTTTGCGAGACTTGGAACGACACTCATCCCCCCTGCCACTGCCGCTGCTACCGCTAACAGTCCCACTAGCCGTTCTCCCTTCCCCCCCATCCTCATCTTCCGACTCCGTTTCAAAGTCCGACTCCAACCCAGCAGCAATCTCAGCAGTCACCGGCACGGGCACGGATGACCCCACGTGCAGGGAGCGAATCAAATCTTCCACCACAGTGGAGGCGATCGGGTCCAGCCCAGCGGTGGGCTCGTCGTACATCACCACCTCCTCCTCCAGCTGTGGGGCGTTGCTGTCAGACACTATGGCTCGGGCCAGGGCTACTCGCTTCTTCATGCCTCCTGACAGCTCCGAGGGGAAACGCTCCTCCACATTCTGATGGGATGGGGTGGGGGAGGGGGAGGGGGAGGGGGAGGGGGAGGGGGAGGGGGAGGGGGAAGGGGGTGGGGGGGGGGGGGGGGGTTTGTGGTGTGTGTTGGGACGATGGCAACGAGGTCCAGCCCAGTGGTGGGCTCGTCGTACATCACCACCTCCTCCTCCAACTGCGGCGCATCGCTGTCCGACACTATGGCCCGCGCGAGGGCCACCCGCTTCTTCATGCCTCCTGACAGCTCCGAGGGGAAACGCTCCTCCACATTCCAACACAGCTCCTAGGGAAAGCGCTTCCTTCCGAGGGAAAGCGCTCCTCGACGCTCTGAGCAGGAAGGAAGAATACATGGGACGGGGGGATGGGATGGTGAAGGATTAACAAGTGTGAGGTTGAACTGCTGCTCACGCTGAGAGAGACTATAGCCGGCTGTGAGCCCACCCGATAAAGTCTCAAGACTCGCCTTGAGGCCCACTGCTTTGACCCTAAGACCCATCTTGAGCTTAACAGCTTTAGCCTCAAGACTCACCTTGAGGCCCACTGCTTTGAGGCTGTCCTTTACTCGCAGGCGAATCTCGTCCTCTGACAACCGAGAGTGCTCGTACCTGACGTGACACAAACAGAACGAGGCGATTTCAGGAAGGAAAGAACGGAGCCCAGGGAAGCTAAGAAAGTGGTACTTCAGATATGTGCGCAGCAGGAATAAGCAGTCGGCAGGGTGCGTAGAGAGCAGTCATGGGCAATCATGCGAAGAGCATTGATTGGTCCCATAGAGCAGTGAACTCACAGCATAAAGCCCACGTTCTCGCGCACAGTCAACGAATCGAATAGCGCTGCGCTCTGGAAGACCTGGTGGATGGAGACAAAACCCCCGAGATGGTGCGGTGGCAAGAACGGGATGGTGAGAGAAAGTGCAGAAGCATGAGGACGCTAAGGAGACAAGAGATGCAAGAGAGACAAATAAAAGCCAATGCAGTCCAATGCAGCAGTAGCTTGAAGGGATACAAGACAGAAGGAGGAGGCCCAGATTCCACAAGCGCCATCGCTCTTCACAAGACCTCGTCCCCTGGTCGCCTCGCCTCACCAGGCCGATCCGCAGGCCCACGTTCTCCTGGTCGCTGATCAGCCCCTCCCGCTTCTTGCCGCATATCCACACCTCGCCCTGGGATCGAAAGGCACGGAGGCAAGGTGTGAGCATGAAAGGCACAAAAGGCGCATGAGCATATCCACACCTCGCCCTGGCAGGGCGAAGCGGGGTGATAGGGCAGGTGGCAAGGCGAAGCAGTAGAGTGTGTGGATGCACGCTTCCAGTATGATGGATGGTTGCACATATGATGGACGTTATTCTATGGTATGCATACATCACATGTGCACGTGCTTGCTAAATGCGTATGTGCATGGACATGTGTCAGCAACCATGCATAACTATGCATAACTATGCATACCGAAAGGCCCGACAAGCATCCCCTACCATGACCTTATGAGGTGCCAGACAGGCCTTCGAAGGCCACAGCTGTATGTGCATGCATGCATGAGAGGAGACCCCCCTCCCCCGTACCTTATCAGGAGCCAGCAGCCCCGCCATGATCTTTAGGATTGTTGACTTGCCCGTGCCGGACGGGCCTATGACACCCACCGCCTCGCCTCTCCGAATCTGACCGTTTGAAGTGGCGCATCAAGGGAGGTGGTTGGGCGGAGAGGGTAGGAGGAAGGAAGGGTGGGAAAATGCAGGAGGTGGTGTGGTGGCACAAGGAATAAGCACAGTAGTGGTAGAGGTAGGGTGTCAGGGAGCAGCACCAGCAGCAGGCTCAGACGCTGACAGACAGAGAGGGCGCTACAGATATGCGGAAAGGTACAGACACGCACAGACACGCACAGACACGCACAGACACGCACAGACACGCACAGACACGCACAGACACGCAGACACACGCACAGACACTTAGAGAGGGGCAGACAGAAGGGGAGGCCGTACCTTAAGCGACGCGCCTCTGAGGATGTGTTTGCTGCCGAACGACTTGCACACATCATTGGGCTCGATCAGCACGTCATGGGTCCGGTTGCACAAGGAATGCGCACCGTAATGGTATAAGTCGGGCGCAAGGGAGCCAGCAGGGGAAGAGCGTACCTTGAGTGACGCCCCTCTGAGGATGTGCTTGCTGCCGAACGACTTGTACACGTCCTTGAGCTCGATCAGCACGTCGTCCTCAGGCGGCTCCTGCGCTTGCCGCTGCCCGCCAGCTTGGCTCGCGCTCTGTGCGGTGCATGGTGGGGTCGCATGGTGGGGTCGCATGGTGGGGTCGCATGGTGGGGTTGCACGGTGGGGTCGCACGGTGGGGTCGCATGGTGGGGTCGCATGGTGGGGTCGCATGGTGGGGTCGCATGGTGGGGTCGCATGGTGGGGTCGCATGGTGGGGTCGCATGGTGGGGTCGCATGGTGGGGTCGCATGGTAGGGTCGCATGGTGGGGTCGCATGGTGGGGTCGCATGGTGGGGTTGCACGGTGGGGTCGCATGGTGGGGTTGCATGGTGGGGTTGCATGGTGGGGTCGCATGGTGGGGTCGCATGGTGGGGTCGCATGGTAGGGTCGCATGGTGGGGTCGCATGGTAGGGTCGCATGGTGGGGTCGCATGGTGGGGTCGCATGGTGGGGTCGCATGGTGGGGTCGCATGGTGGGGTCGCATGGTGGGGTCGCATGGTGGGGTCGCATGGTGGGGTCGCATGGTGGGGTCGCATGGTGGGGTCGCATGGTAGGGTCGCATGGTGGGGTTGCACGGTGGGGTCGCATGGTGGGGTTGCATGGTGGGGTTGCATGGTGGGGTCGCATGGTGGGGTCGCATGGTAGGGTTGCATGGTGGGGTTGCATGGTGGGGTTGCATGGTGGGGTCGCATGGTGGGGTTGCATGGTAGGGTCGCATGGTGGGGTCACATGGTGGGGTTGCATGGTGGGGTCGCATGGTGGAGTCACATGGTGGGGTCGCATGGTGGGGTCGTATGGTGGGGTAGCATGGTGGGTTCGCATGGTGGGGTTGCACGGTGGGGTTGCATGGTGGGGTCGCATGGTGGGTTCGCACGGTGGGGTCGCATGGTGGGGTTGCAGGCAGGGTGAGGAGAGGGGAATGGTCGGATAAGGTGTGACGTGGGTTAGGGTAAAGCGCATGGAACGTGGAGGGGGAATGGCCGCTGAACTCGAGGGGGATGGGATGGACATTAAGCCAGGGAGACTTTTGAGTCGACTCAAAAGCAAGCCAGGGAGCAGCTTAAAGTGCAGCGAGCGAGAAGACCTGCTTACCTTGATAGACCCATTTTCGCCAGATACGGTCGCGACGGACGGCTGAGATGACACGGCACCTTGAGATCGAGCCGTGGCCCTTGGATCATCTGCTGACGCAGCGGAGCACCGCACTGCACCGCAAGACGGCCGTCTCGACGACCCCACTACTCCAACGTTCTTATATCGAACGCTACCCCGTTCAAGGCACGTCGCAGCAATCAACGTTTGCTCGGCATTTTCCCGAAGCGAGTGCGATCGCTGCGGCCGTTGCTTATGGCAACAAGCGATCGACGGAGGAGGCGTCGTTCCGCGGAAAGCTGCTCGCGAGAGGCAGGCACACGCGGTCATGGCGCCGCGAGGAGCAACAACAATGAAGCCTTGGAGAAGAAACGGGTTACACTCTAGCGAGAACAAGGAGAACGGAACACGTGACAAGAATAGGGCGAGAAGACCACACGCTACGAGTGGTGATTCTGCTTTGCTACAGATGGTGGTGGTAGGATCGACGCGATAAGCTCGAAGTGCTTGATCTCACGCGGGAAAGCAGCAGGAGCTACCTAGGACCGGGTACAAGCAAGTGCACAAGCGGCCTCGTATGCTGGCCTGGATTCTACGGCAACACCAAGAACCAGACCACCACCATTCATACTGGCTCAAGTTTGTGAGCTGCTTGTCCCTGGAACTCCTTCAGAGGGTCCGTGTGGTGGGATGGGGTGGGGAAGGGAAGGCGGGAAAAGGAGCCGCGCGGCGATATCGAGGTTAGATGACATCGAGGCTTACGTGTTCCACGTGTAAACTTAATTTCGTAATACAGCACATAACAATTCAGATGAATATTAGCCTACCTAGAAAGCCTACTACTATCCTAATTACAGAAACCTCATCTTACACATACAGAAAAAAAAATCATGGCCTATCCAAGCACGCAACCAGCAAAATCTAAAACATCAGCTGAAGCGCCTAATGAAGCGACGGAACCGCGGTACATCAATGGCCAGAGACCCGACCAATGGCTTGATGGCAGATTGCCTCCAGAGTGCCTAAAATCTGAGACTGGTCCCTCAGTGAACCAGTCCGGCCACCTTCAGCCAAAGCCACCATCGTGCGAAGCAATGCCGACACGTCCTCTGCCCATTGTGCATCAACCCTCTTCCCTCCTTGCGATGCTTCAGCTCCTAGTGTAGCGTTGTCAGCTCTCTGTGCCAGTGTGCGTGAATACGATGCAAGTGCAAGGAACCTAACCGAAACCAGAGCTGCAGCGGGGTCGGCTCTCCCACCAGCACTTGCGGCTGCCACTTGGCATGTTGTCAGTATCGCATCCAAGTCCCGCCGTATCTCCTGCCGTTGCTCCCTATCTAGCTGAGCCACCCTTGCAGCCACACCACTGGCATCCTCGCTATAATCATCCTCATCACTCTCCTCATTGTCAACATGCGCACCCTCTACATCCTGATCTTCCCATATCACGCCCTGCTTCCACCTCTGGTTATCCTGTTCTGCTTTACCGCGGCGGAAGCTGCTTTTTCTCGAGATGACTGGGGCTGAGTTGGTGTGAGCCAGGGCACGGGTTTTGCCCTTGTCAGCCCGGCGTTGCTCTCCAATCACGTCAGTGCTAGCCGAACCTCCAGCAGCCACACCAAAACTGGCAGCAGGAGCTCTGGCGTTGACTTGCTGCTGCAACCTTGCCGCTGCCGTGGCGGCTGCAGCTCCAGCCGAACTACCAGCTGCATGGGGCAACACAGAAGGTCCAGAATTCGCCTCCTCGTCCTCGCCCTCCTCTCTATGGGCAGTCAACTTCTTTGTAGGGGAAAACTGTCTCCTGGGGCCGGCTCTCCCACCACTGCCCCCCCCACCACCACCACCGCCGCCGCCGCTACCGCTGCCAGCACCAGCGGCCTTACCGCCCTTTGCCGCTGCCTTGCTGCCGGCAGCACCAGACTCGGACGCACTCCGACGAACTTGAGTCAGACCACCAGGGGAAGCGGGAGGAGAGAGAACAGGAGAGGGGGCGGCAGACGAGGGAGGAGAGGAGTTGGACAGGGCATCAGCAGCGGCTGCAGCAGACGAGTCACGGGACGTGCGGCGAGAGGAGGAGGCGGTGGAGGGGTTCAATGCACGGACGCGGGCTAAGTGGCGGTTGAGCTTAACTAAGAGCGCCATGTGGAGCTCGCGGGTGGTGGTCTTGATGACCTTGCGCGACGGCAAGCGCAGGGGTAGCTTCTTCCCCGCGAACTTGAGATCGGCATCGTACAGAATGATGCTCTCCAGCCGCCCCTCCATGCCCATCACTGAGGTTATGTCTGCACGCATGGCGGAAGGGGGAGAGAGGCAGGAGAGGGAGAGGTAGGAGGGTGGTGGTCAGGGATTTACATCACTAACAAGGTTGAGAAAAGCAAACCTAGATAGGACGGGAAAGTAGGGGAAGTGGGAAGGTAGGATACTGCTAAACTGTACATCGTGGCGGAGTTCCACGCGAGGAGTGCTCTGAAGCCTAGAACCATGGTACAACCACTCTGCTACAGGTGTATGCAGCAAATCACACATGTCAATCATAGCTACCTTTGAGTGGTATCTGCCAGAAGAAGACGTTCCTCTGGCAGTCGTAAAACAGCAGGCGCACCACGGTGAACAGCACTGCCTTGCGCGCCGACGTCTGCAGGTGGTCCAGCAGCTGCTCGCTGCGGTAGCGCCCAAAGTCCAGGATGGCCAGCACCAGCTTCAGCTCCACACTGTCCTCCGGCTCCAGCTGCCAGGAGAGAAAGGGGTGAGGACGAGGTGCAGGAGGAAAGCGGGAAGATGCGGCGAAGTGGTTAAGGGAGGGTTGGGAAGACAGTCGGTGGTGGACGGGTGGGCGGGTGCAAGGTGCAAAAAATGGTCGTTTTTTTTTTTTTTTTTTTTTTTTTGCCGTAAAATACGGAATCGTTTTATTCGGCCGTTCAAAACGGTCCAAAGGTGCGTTTTTGGGTTGGTGCACCGTGGTAGTTCATTTGTGAGTGTTGTTAATGTTTTGAGACAGTGGTAAGGGTCATAGTGGGGAGGAAGAGGCGACAGAGGAGGAGGACAAAGATTCAACACACATACCTGTAGAACTGTTTGTTAGCCCCCTCAGCCCTGAGTAAACCGTCGTAACCATGCTGCAACCTGGCGGGCTGGCGGGCTGGCAGGCTGGAACCTAGGACCTCTCATTTCCAAGGGTTTTTGTTGCCCACTAGGACAATGGGTGTGAAAAACTAGTAAGGAATAAAAGCTCTTCACGCAGCCCCAGGAACCCAGGACCCCTCACCAGGCTTTCCCGGTGCGCCCCTCTCAGCCTTTCCTCTTCCACCCGTCGCGAGGAACCCCTGCGCACCCCTCTCAGGCTTTGCCCTCGGACCCTCTCGCACGCTTTCTCAGCAACCCCCTTGGGCTTTCTTGGCACATCACCCCACTTGCTTTCCCGTTCCTCCTCCCCCGTTTTCCCCGTCGTGATCCAATTACACATCCATCTTAGACCCGTGTGTGCACACACACATGCTTGAGTAAGGGTGGCAGGAACCAAACCAAGGCTGGAACTAAAGCAGGAACTAGGGTTCGAACGAGGCCACATGACATCTCACCGCAATGGCATCATTCCTCCCGAAGGTGCTCGGCAGTCGGATCCGCGGCACGCTCCGCCTCGTCACATCCCCCCCCATGGCCCGAATCCCCGTGCCGGCACTCTCGGTCACAGTGGAGGCGAACCCCAGCAGCCCCGACAGCGGCTTGGTCACCAGCCCCACCACGCCTATCCCCACGCCCTTCATTGCCCCCACCGCCCCTCCCTGCGCCCGCCCTCCAGCGGCTGCAGCACCAGCCCTGTCACCGCCCCCACGAAGCCGAGCCCCAGGTCCTGCGCTCCTCGCAGCACTTGCTGCGAAGCTCCTTCGGGGCGCTGGCTGTACCTGGTGGGGATTTATGGGGGGGATGGGGAAAGGAGGGAGTGGGGGAGGGGTGGTTGAAGGAAGGGATTGTGCTTAGTAGCGGAGGGACAATGACAAGGATTGGGCGGCAGTGTAGGAGACAAGAGCGGAAACCAGAGAGGTGTGGCCGTGTGTGCGAGTTTGTGCATGAGCACGTGTGGCATGCACGCAGAGAACCCTTCAACTACATGCACGAAAATAGGCAGCCTCACCAGGAAGGAATGCAGGATGAACCTCTTAGCCGTAAGGCGAGCACCAGTGCTCTAATTTGTGGTAATCGCGCACTCCACCGTACCTCTGAGTGCCCCCAGCGAGGGAGCTGATGGAGTGCAGCACGCCTTAGAAGGAGCCAACGTTCCTCGATGCCACCAGCGAGCGAAATGCCTCTGGATGATGGGGAAGACAGCCGTAGAAGCAGCCAATGGAATCTCAATGCCACCAACCTCTGGATAAAAGAGTCGTCGAATGTGAGCTTGGCGAACCCAATGCCAATGCCGCCTGCGAGGGAGCTGATGGAGTGCAGCACGCCGTACGACGAGTGCTTCACCAGACTCACTGTACCCTTCATCGCCCCACTGAAAAACTCCTCGGGCCTGAGGGGGAGTGGGGGGAGAGGGGAAGGGAAGAGGGGAAGAAGGGAAGAGTGGACAGCAATGGGTGCAAAGGAGAGCGTCCACTCATGCGGTGGCAACCCTCCACTCTTTTTTCCACGTCTAAAACAACAGCACTGGCGCTCGACACTCACGTGGTGGCAGAGGCGGGCTCCACAAAGAAGTCCATGACCCCCGTGGCGAGGTTGTCCACCAGGGACAGCTGGGGAAGGTCGGATTTGGGACAAGGGAAAGTGGCATTTGGAGGAGCGAATTTGGCACTGGGGAGAAGGAAATGGCATTCGAATGAGCAAGGGGGGAGCGAAAGGAAGGGTGAGAAAGCAGTGACGAATGCACGAGCATGGAGGCATGTGCATACCGGAGCACCGAGCAGCTCCACGGAGCCGAGGATCTTGTGCAACCCCTGCAGCAGCTGCACCACGTAGTGCCGCAGCACGTACGTCAGCAGCGTGTTCTGGTTCTGAAACGCGTTGTCCAGCACCAGACTGACATAGAGGGCGGAGGGGTGGGAGGGGAGGAGGGAGGAGGGAAGGGAGGAAGGGGGGGAGGATGTTAGAATATCCTACTATATTCACTAGTCTACATAGATTTGTTAGTCTCGAGTAGAGCTAAGCATTCCACTACAATTAGGGTGTAATAACCCAAATTGGAGGTTGGGTTCCCAACTTGGTTGGATTCCCAATTTGGTTGGGTCCACAACTATTTGAGACCCCCAATAAATCCCACCAGAATTATTGGACCACCAATAATCCCAACCAGAATTATTGGTGGGCGCCAAAAATCTTGGCCAACTCCCAACCAACCCTCCCTTCCTCCCTTCCTCACATTCCTATGTAAACCCTTGTGCATTCCCTTCTTATCAACTTTCTAAGTTCCCGTTTTCTCACAGAGGAGGGGAGGGAGGAGAAGAGGGAGGAGGAGAGGGAGGAGGAGAGAGAGGAGGGGAGGGAGGAGGAGAGGGAAGAGGAGAGGGAGGAGGAGAGGGAGGAGGAGAGGGAGGAGGAGAGGGAGGAGGAGAGGGAGGAGGGGAGGGAGGAGGGGAGGCGGAAGAACGGTTTCGAAGGGAGTGATGCATGAGGTAATGCCACAGCACATGGGTCAGCAGAATGCTCTGGTTCTGAAGTGTGGTGTTCAGCACCAGGCGAGCATGGAGGAGGTGGGTGCTGCAGGAGGAAGGATGGATTGAGAGGGTGGTTGAGGGGTGCACCTGTGCACGCTCATTCTCTCTCACCCACCCGCTGCGTGACAGGGGAGAGCGTGAGAGCAACATCAGCGGGACACCCGCTGAGGAGGCCACAGTCCTTGTGAGGTGTCACTCCTCAGGGGGGCGCAATTCTTGAGGTACCAAAGAGATTCCCTCACCTGTTGAGTCTCAGAGGTGCTCGTGTGAGCGACACCAGGGGGAAACCCGCCGAGGACGCGACAGTCCTGACGTGCCACTCGGAGCTGCCGGCTGAGAGGGGCGGCGCGTCGCCCTTGACAGGGTTCATGACGAGCGTGACGTTGATGCGCATCGGCTGCACCTGGAAGCGCTCAAAGTACCATCGCAGGCCCTGGTTGCCCGCCACCCAGCTGCTGCGGTTGACCAAGGGGCTCAGCATCTGCTCGGGCTTAACTAAGTGCCGGCGGGAAGTGTATGAAACCACGGTGGTGTCGCGTGCCTGGAGAGAGTGGGGGGGAGAGAGGAGTGGGCAAGAGGTGGAAGAGGAATTCAAGAAAGTTAGGTCAACAGGAAGCAGACCGTTACATAAGCAACGCAGAGTCTTGTGAGAGAATCACACAAGGGAAGGAGAACCCATCTGACCAGGAAGGACTTGGCGATGGGAGCCCCGCTCATGTCCTCCAGCGCGTCCTCCTCCTCCGACTGCTTCTCCTCCTCCCCGCCCCCTTCTCCTTCTCCTGCCACAGGTCCTCCAGGGGCAGTTGCTGCAGGTACGCCACCACCGTATCCACAAAGTCCTCCTCTAAGTGCAGGTCGAACTCCTGCAGCTGGAAGAGGAAGTGCTTGTAGTACACGATGGACGGGTGCTGCAGCAGCCGCGTGAACTCAACGGATACAAACGCCTTTTCTTTCTCCTTGGCGGCGGCGGGGTCGCCGCTGAGCATGCTGGTCAGCTTCGCCTGGCCCTGGCTCGCCAGCTCCTTGCCCTGCTCCAGGAATAGGGCCTCTCCTGGGAAGGCCTGGGGGCAGGGACGGGGGGAATGCAGGGAGGAAGGGTGGCGTTTGGTTCAAATTAAGAGTCTCTCTGCTCAGCATGCTGGGTAGCTTTGCCTGGCTCGCCAGCTCCTTGCCCTACTCCAGGAACAGGGCCTCTCCTGGGAAGGCCTGGGGGCAGGGACGGGGGAGTGGGAGGAGGGGGAGGGAAAGGGGAGTGGGAGGAGGGGGAGGGGAAGGGGAGTGGGAGGAGGGGGAGGGGAAGGGGAGTGGGAGGAGGGGGAGGGGAAGGGGAGTAGGAGGAGGGGAGGGGAAGGGGAGTGGGAGGAGGGGGAGGGGAAAGGGAGTGGGAGGAGGGGGAGGGAAAGGGGAGTGGGAGGAGGGGGAGGGGAAGGGGAGTGGGAGGAGGGGGAGGGGAAGGGGAGTGGGAGGAGGGGGAGGGAAGGGGAGTAGGAGGAGGGGGAGGGGAAGGGGAGTGGGAGGAGGGGAGGGGAAAGGGAGTGGGAGGAGGGGAGGGGAAGGTAGGTTTGAGCAATGGGTCGGGTCGGGTCGGGTAACCCAACCCGAACCCGACTTTTTGACGGGTCGGGTCGACATTTGCGGAAGGTTGACCCGACCCTCGGGTACCTGACCCGACCCGACCCGACCCGACCGACAAAACCCGACCCGTCGGGTCGGCTTATTACCCGTCCCTGCCCTATGCCAACCCGACCCGACCCGACCCGAAATCAGGTTAGGTAGAACCCCGACTATTAAACACGGGTCGGGTTGACATTTCCTGAACTCCGACCCGACCCGACCCGACCCGAACCCGACATCGGGTAGGGCAAAGTCGGGTCGGGTCGGGTCGGGTCGGGTTCATGCTCAAGCCTAGGCGAAGGGGAGTGGGAGGAGGGGGGGGAAGGGGAGTGGGAGGAGGGGAGGGGCAGGGAGTGGGGGGGGAGGGGAAGGGGAGTGGGAGGAGGGGAGGGAAAGGGGAGTAGGAGGAGGGGAGGGGAAGGGGAGTGGGAGGAGGGGGAGGGGAAGGGGAGTAGGAGGAGGGGGGGGAAGGGGAGTGGGAGGAGGGGGAGGGGAAGGGGAGTGGGAGGAGGGGGAGGGGAACGGGAGTGGGAGGAGGGGAGGGGAACGGGAGTGGGAGGGAAGGGGAGTAGGAGGAGGGGGAGGGGAAGGGGAGTGGGAGGATGGGGAGGGAAAGGGAGTGGGAGGAGGGGGAGGGGAAAGGGAGTGGGAGGGAAGGGGTTTGGGGGGTGGGTTGTCAAAAGTCAGAGGGTGGATTCGAGGTGGGTGATGGGGGAGGGTGGTGAGAGACGATTTGATGCGCATGAATGAGAATGTGAGAGAGTCATGGGGAAACGAGCCGTGCGAGGGAGGAGGGAGAGAGCGCAAGGGGGTCTGACCATGGTGCGCGAGAGCACGACGGGGTTGCGGGCGGTGAGCAGCTGGTTGTCCACCTGCAGCTTGCCCACCTCCACCTTGCCCGCCACCTCCTTCACCTGCGGTGGGGGAGGGGCAGCGGAGGGGGAATGGGGCGGGGGTGGTGTGAGGGGTGTCATCTGCAGCTTGCAGCTTGCCCTACACATGGAGGTGAGGCAGCAAGTAATAAGGGAGGGAGAGAAACAAGGCGAGCAGACGGAATACTGAGGAGCTCATAAAGAGCATTGTAGGAACGGCAGTGATTTCAAATCATCTCTCCCTGTCATCGCTTCACAACTCCTCCCATGCCTCACCATTTTGCCCCTGCCGCATCGCCAACTCCCTCAGTCCCTCTATCACCCACCTCCCCCTCCCCTTCCCATCGTACCGACTCCTCCCAGGAGCAGCAGATGTCTTCCAGCAGCATCAGCATTATCTCCCGCGGTAGACGGTCCACTATGGACAGGGTCAGCCCGCGCAGGTTCAACTGGGAGAGGTTGGCGGGGGAGAGAAAAGGGATCGAGGGAAAGGTTGATGGAGGAGAGATTGGGAAAGAGTGAGAGGCACAGTTGGAGAGAGAGAGGGTGCAAAGAGAGGCAAGAAACGATGAAAGTGGCAATTGAACGGAGAAGAAGAACCCTGAACTGCGGACACATAAGCAGGGGTGGGGACGTCTCAGGTACGAGTCTTTTCCTCTTACCACGAAGTTGACATCTGTCCTCTCCTCTTACCACGAAGTTGACACCTGTCTTCTCCTCTTACCACGAAGTTGACACCTGTCTTCTCCTCTTACCACGAAGTTGACACCTGTCTTCTCCTCCGTCTTCTTCCCCTGGTCCACCATCCACTGCACTCGCAGCCGAATGCTGCCGCCCACCGCCTCCGGCTCCTGCAGGTGAAGGAAGGAAAGGGCAGCGGGAGTCGGCACAAGGTGAACAGGTTTGGGGAGGATGGATGCATGTGAGACATGACAGAGACTGGGGAAGGGGAGAGAGATGGGGGAGAAGAGGGGACAGTGAGAGGGGAGGAGGGCGGAATGGGGTGAGAGGAAGGGAAGATGGATTGAGGGGGAGGGAAGAGAGAGAAAAGAGGAGGAAGGAGCAGACAGTTACACACCCCTTCTCTTCCTGCGCTTCGCTTCAGAGTCAGCAGCATGTACTGTGGTAAGCCATCCTGGGAGACAGCAAAACACAGGATAGTGAAGAGCAGAGCGAACAGAGCAGGAGAAACACGAGGAGAGATGAGTTCCTCTAGAAAACTGAGCAATCTGGCGATTGAAGCATCGAAGACATGATACAATCCTGCAAGAGGAAAGAAACGGCTGGCAGCCACGTGGCTTTGGCTTCCGATGAAAAAAGGCTTCCAACGACTTCAGTTTTGGCCTTGACATCAAATTTCATCCTTGTTGTCTGATTGTGGCCGCACCTTGAAGTTGGTCACGTCCACTGTGGCTTCGCCCAGGAGATTAGGGCTGCCCAGCCTTTGGCTTATCAAATACCTGCAGGGGATGCAAGGGGCGGGTGCAGTGCAGGGGTGATGAAAGGAGGTTACCAGGGCGAAGGGGGATGACCAGAACGATGGGATCAGTTGAACCAAGCCAGACCTGCGCCAGCACCGCCTGAACCAGCCCATACCTGCACCAGCACCACCTGAACCAGCCCATACCTGCACCAGCACCACCTGAACCAGTCCATACCTGCACCAGCACCACCTGAACCAGCCCATACCTGCACCAGCACTACCCGACCAGCACCCTCACCGCGACCACCTAACTCAGCCCAACTCAGCCCATACAAGCACCCTCAAAGACGAAGTGAGCGCAAAATCATTGATGGCAAAGGTTTCGTTCCACTTGGGGAATGACCCGTGTCTTTACGGACAGCGTGCTGGTGCCCGACGGGGACACCACGGAGAGGCCGCAAAGACGTGCATCCGATGCACGGAGCGAGCTGGTGCTTGGAATTTCCCAGAAGCCAACCCACCTCATATTAACACCGCTACCACCTGACCAGCCCATACCTGTACCAGCATTACCTAACCCAGCCCATACCTGCACCCGCAAAGAGGAGGTGATCGCGACATCATTGATGGCAAAGGTTTCGTTCCACTTGGGGAAGAAGCTGCCCTTGATGGCCCGCGTCTTCACGGGCAGTGTGCTGGTGCCCGACGCGGACACCACGGAGAGAGCCGCAAAGGCGCGCATGCGATGCACAATGCGCAGCCACTCTGCTGGCACTGCCAGGTGCCGTGCCTCGACCACCTTCACCTGAAGATGGCGTGGGAGAGGAGGGGACGTGGGATAGGAGTGATGGGGTTGAGACGACGGGGAGAGCAGCAAAGGTGTGCATTCGATCCACGGAGGGCAGCTACTCTGCTGGCACCGCCAGGTGCCTCGAACACCTTCACCAGGAGATGGTATGGGTGAGAAGGAATGGGGAGTGAAGGGGTTGAGCGCAGCGGAAGTGTGCATTTAGATGCACGTACTGCACTGTAGCCCACTCTGCAGTCACCGCCAGGTGCCGTGCCTCGCCACCTACACCTGGAGATGGTCCGGGTGAGAAGAAGAGTGAGGGCGTGATGTGGCGAGAGGTAGTGCTTGAGAAAGGAGAAAAAACACAAGGGAGTGCAGCAGCCGCAGCAGCCTTCCCTCACCTTGTAGTACTTGTTGTAAACTCTATATATATATATATATAATATATATATATATATATATCGGAGAGCACCACACTTTGAGGTTGCTTGCCCTCCAAGCAACTTCTCCCATTGGTCCACATTATGGCCAATAGGAGAGCTTCCCTTCCAACTCTTCCTTGCTCCTTGTTTGTACAATAGAGCCTCTTAGCTCTCTACTCAATTCACTCTTTTCTCCTCAAAGCTAGTTCCTTCAGTACTGCCTCCTGATAGAAGCATACTATCAAGCTGCTTCACCACAGTCAGCGCTACCTGGAAACGCTCTCAAGTCATCTCTCTCATTCGCTCTCTCGTTTCATCCCTTGCATTCCACCCCTTTAGTCTCAGCCCTCTGGCTCCACCCCTCACCTTGAGCTGCCCCCTGGCGGTATGTTGCTGCGCCACGCCCGGCGACATGGAGGCTCCAGCCGGAAGCACCCCCGGCCCCCCCTGCCCCCTCAGGGTGAACATCCTTCGCAGAATGGGCCCGCCTCCAGGCGTGCGCACGGGGGTGACGGGCGGGTGCGCGTGCAGCTGGTGCGGGTTGGCCACACTCTCTGCTGCCATGGCTGCCTCCCGCGGCCGCGCCTCCCTCTCCTGCGCCAGCCGCTCCTCCAAGGCGTCCAGCTCCGCCTCCTTGGCGCGCAGCTGCAGGAATGGGGAAGGGGGGGGGGGGGGGGGAGGTTAGGGGGGCAGAGGCACAAAGCATGGGGGATGATGGAGGAAGTGGTCAGGATGATGGAGCTAGCCGCCCCTCCAGTGTGTCCAGCTCTGCCTCCTTGGCGCGCAGTTGAAGTGGCAAAATGGCAAGCAAATGGTAGAGGCAAATGGTGGAGGATGATGGAAGGGAGGACCTCCAGTGCGTCCAGCTCTGCTTCCTTGGTGCGCAGCTGAAAATGCAGATTTGCAAAGGCGCGGGGCAGATGCAAGGGGCACAGGCAAGGGGCGGAACACACACTGGTGACTGCTTTGTGGTCACCATATTGTACAAGCGTTCAGCCTTTAGTAGATACATGCTCGCCCATCAACACACCTGCAGCGCCATGAGCTCGAGCTCCGTGGCATCCCAGGACGTGGAGAGGAACACGCTCCCCCTGACCGTCTCATGCGCCGTGCGCCGACTCAGCTTGTGCCACCCGGGCTCGCGGTTCAACGCCCTGCCGTCCACCAGAGGCAGCACCACCTGGGTGCATGGGAGCCATGGGGGAGAGGGGAGTTTGTGGGCCATGGCGCCAATAGCGGCAAGGGAGGGAAATGGTGGGCACAATTACCAGTGACGGGTGATGGACAGGTCAGCAATCAGCAAGGCATGCACAAGCAACAAGAGCCGTTGGCATTTACACAGGAGAAGTGGGGAGCAGCACAGCTCAATGTTGGCAACGCACGGTTGAGCGAGGGAGGGCCGTTGCTCACCTGTCCAAGGAACTTATGCGGGCCAATGGTCTCCTGGCTGAAGATAGACACAGTCATGCTGGACGCAGTGGACACGCCCTTGAACACCAGCAGCTCGTCCCACTGCGGGCACACCGTCCCTTGCACACCGACGACCGGTGCCGCCGCCCCTCCACGTGAATCACCGCATACGGATGCGTTTTCTCCGGTCTAACCCCCAAGTCCCGGGCCTTGATCAGGTGAATCGTCACGTCGCCACCGACAATGGCCCCGGCGTCGTACTCCTCGTTGCCCAGCTGGATGCGCACCTGCCGCATCTCGCTGATGTCCTCCTCCTCCTCCGCCCCGTGCCCCGCCTCCTGCATGCGCCGCCGCCACTCCGCCAACCCCACTTCCACATCCTGTCCCACTTGCTCCTTCACCTCTCCCAGCTTGCCCGACACAGCAATCAGCGCTACAGCCGTGCCGGCCATCAGAGCCTTCGTCTCTGCTACAGCCACCTCTGACCCTGCCGCCAGGGATCTCCCCACGGCTCCCTTGACCACCGACCCCACCTTCGCCACCACATCCTGGCCTCTCCTTGCCGCTGCTGCCACCTGCCCTGCCGCCACACTTGCGCTCTTGACCAATCCAGAGGGTCGATTCTGCCCAATATATTCCAGCTCAGCATCTGCTACCGCCCCTGCCATGCTCTGGAGCTCCTCTATTGAAGGCACGGGCAGGACCTCAGTGCTGTCCGCGCCCCTGTGTGACCCCCCTTCGCTTTGAGATGCCGGCAGCCGGAAGCTGTCATGGGGCCAGTGCGACCGGAGCTCTGCAACTGTTGCTGATCCGACCATTCTGGGCACAAGGGTAGCTTCTGCCAGGTTACCTGCCTGGCTCTCAAAGAAAGACTCAACAGAGCGCACCGCCTTCATTGCACCTACTTGCGCTTTAAAACCCTCCTCAGCGCGCAACTCCTCTACCCTCTCCTCCGCCACTTCAAACGCCTCCATCGCCTCGTGAAACGTCTCCCGAACTTTCTCCGACGTGCCTTCGAGGAAAGCAGCAGCAGCGGAGTGCATGGCCGATGCAGCCCCTTCACACTCTTCCCCGTGTTGACCACAGCAGCACTGGTGCTGCCTCCAACCCGGCCCACAACACCCTTCCAAGACACACGGCTTTGGGCGGGCTTTGCTCTGGTTTCGGGAGACGATTGTCGGTGGCTTGCAGGCGGCGAATCAATGGGGATGTGCACCGCAGGAGCGCCTGTGGTTCCAGACGATGCTGCATCTCCATCTGCTGCTCCTGTTGCTGATTCAGCTGCTGCCGGTGCAACTGTGGAGTGCGAGCTGTGTTGTTCCGCCTCTGCTGCTGACTGAGAGAGCTCAGAAGGCGGAAAGGTCACCAACAACTGCCGCTCACTGCTGCTGTGAGTTGAAGTGCCAGTAGCAGCAGCAGCAGCAGCTGCTGCAGTGGGCAGCAAGAGCACATCGCTAGCTGGAGAATCAGTAGCAGAGGTAGTGACAGAAGCAGCAGAATCAGCATTTGCTGTCGCAGCTGTGGCCACACCAACAGAGGCGCCTGCAGCAACAGATTCACCAGCAGCCGCAGGAGTGGCCACAGCAGCAGCAGCGGCAGCCTTGGCAACCTCAGCCAGTCTCTCCTGCCCACGTCTACTAAAGGACCCTATCAGCTTGGTAACTGTTCCCTGGAATGGCTTCCGGAGCTTTCCAGACGATCCGGTGCTGCCAGCACTTGGTGGTCTCGGTTGATTCTGATGCCGATTGAGAGGAGGGAAGGAAGAGAGCGAGTCCAGGTGGGGAGTTGACTCGGCGTTCGCTGCTGCTGCTGTTGCAAGCAGCATGGGACCACAAGTAGCAGGAGCGGGAACAGCAGCTCTGTCGGCATCTGTGACTGGTTCGGATGTGGCTATTTTGTAAAGAAGGGGAGACGAGGCAGAGGCTGTTGAGGCACCAGGGACAGCATCGTGTGAAGCCGCAGGCACTGGCACAGATTCACCAGGAAAAGCAGCCAGGACTGTTGAGGCAGAACCAGGGGCAGCAGAGACAGGTGGAGGTACAGCAACAGGAGCAACAGCCTCAGCAGCCACACGTGTGTTTGGGACAGACGAAGCAGCAGTGGCGGCGGTATCTGGAACAGGGGCATTTGGAGCTGCAGTAGGGGCCGTGGCACCAGTGACCACCTGAGAAAACGTGGTCCTGTGAGGCTTAGCGGCAGGCTTGACAATTCGAGCAGCAGCTGCTTTGAAACTGCTTTTCGCATTCAGACTGCTTCCTGCGGACCTGCTGTTGGCGGTGGCAGCAGCAGCAGCAGCTACAGGGGGCACAGTGGCAGCAGCACCTGTAGTTGCGGCAGGCATACTAGCAGCAGCTGCAGCTGTGGCTGGGGCAGTGACAGTGGCAGAGGCAGGGCCGGAACTTCTGGGGCTGGAGGCACTGGGACAGACTAGACTAGCAGTGGACCCAGCACCGTCTGACACTGACACGGCTCCTGCACTGGGAGAGAATTGATCTGCACTCCCTCCTCCAGATGCGTTGGTCTCAGCATGGGTATCATCAGCACTGGAATCGACATTGGCTTCAGCGGGCTTGGCGTCAAGGGCTTTACCATCCGCATCAGCACCACCTGCATCACTTTCCATGCGCCCTCCTCTGGCACCAGTAACCGCAGAGGAACTAGATTCCGCAGCACTCAAATCAACAGTCTGTGCGACAGCTGCAACAGCACCACCTGAAGCTGCACCACCTGTAGCAGCAGCGCTTGCAGCAGCACCATCTGTAGCAGCACCACTTGCAGCAGCAGCACCTGTAGCAACAGCAAGTTGACTCTCCGCCTCAGCTCCAGCACCTACCTCCTCCCCAGCCCCCTCCCCCTCACTGATACCATCTTTAAGCAGGGCCCTCCCTCTCTTCAGCCCCAGCACAAAGCGGGCAGCAGCCAGTGAGGAGCTCAGCAGAGACGCAGTCACTGGCACTTCCATTCTCGCAAGCCCAAGGTCTCCTCCTCCATCCCCTTCCGCCCCTCCTTTCCACCTCTCAACCACCACCACTCTTCCCTGTTCCTCTCCACGCTCGTCCTCGGATTGGGCTCCAACTGCCCCTTCTCCCTCCCCAGCATCTGACACACGCACGCCCTCAGTCTTCCTATCTGTTTCCCCTGCCTCGTCCCCACTGCTCCCCACACCTGTGGCTGCACTACTCTGCTCCCTGCCTGCCGTGCTGCTACTGCCCTCCCCACCTCCTCCCTCCTCTGTGCCTTCCATCACACTTGTCAGCCCCCCCTCCCTATCACAAGACGCAGCAGCCTCTAAAACTCTGAGATGGCCCTCGTCACTGCCCCCAGGAATACCCCTCTCTGGCCTGCTGTCCTGTCCCCCTTCATCCTCCCTCTTCATATCTGCACCACCCTCCCTTATCATATCCGCACCACCCTCCCTCTTCATATCCGCACCATCTTCCCTCTTCATATCCGCACCATCTTCCCTCTTCATATCCGCACCATCTTCCCTCTTCATATCCGCGCCATCCTCCCCCTTCATATCCGCGCCATCCTCCCCTTCATATCCGCACCATCCTCCCTCTTCATATCCACGCCATTCTCCCTCTTCATATCCGCGCCATCCTCCCTCTTCATATCCGCACCATCCTCCCCTCGTGCTCCTGTGGCCTCCTGTGGTTGTTTCGGTCCAGGCAGGTCTGCCTTTTTCTTCCCCTTCTCCAGATTCATGAACGCCAACCGCAGCCCTTTCATTTTACGCCACGACCCCCCACCTGTTTTGATTGGTGGAGCTCCACCCCTCTCACCAGACCCAGAGGCAGTAGAAGAGGAGGCAGAAGCACACATGCTGGAATCTGCCGACCCACCAGCTGCAGCAGGTGAAGCTGATTCACCCACTGATTCTCCACCTACAGCTGAGGCGTCTGAGCGTGTTGCTGCATCAGCTGCTGCCGTTGCATCTGTCTCCATAGCCACCTCCCCTAGATGCGCCTCTTCCTTAACTGCCACTCCTGCTGCCCCTTCCAGTTTCTCACTTGTCAACGCCTTTGCCAACACCTTCTCGCCCCCCATCTCTTTCCCTCCACTCTCCTCCATGTATTCCTCCACCACCGCCCCCCCTACCCCTTCCACCACCCCTATCCCTGCCTTCACAACCTGCAGCCCTGCCTGCACGCCACGTGCTGTCATCTCCACCAGCCGCATTGGGTACTCGGGCACGTCAGGCGCGCTTGCAGGGAGATACAGGTAGTCCAGGGCCTCCTGCCCTTTCAGCCGTGCTGCCTTGCCTGCATTCTCCCCTGCACCGCCACTGCTTCCTGCCTGTGACTGCAAGAGGTTGTTTGCCTCTGCCCTTGTCACTTCGGTGCATAAAGAACCGGGCTCCTGTCCTTTCAGTTGTGCTGCCTTGCTTGCATGCTCCTCTGCACTGCCACTGCTTCCTGCCTCTGGCTGGAGGAGCTTCTTTGCCTCTGCCCTTGTCTGCTCGGCGACTGACAAACCAGGCACTCTGGGTGTTTCTTGAGAGCCTGGCATGCCCACAACACTGCTGCCTTCTGTGTAGGTGTCACCGCTTCTCTCCCATCTACCACTCCTTTTCAACACCTCCAAAACCTCCATATCATCCTTCGCAACACCCTTCCCTTTCCGTGCCTTGCCATCCACATCAGCTGATGTCTTTCCATCTCTTCTCATAATGGCGCCTGGCATGCTCTCTCCTGTTTGCACCAGTCCTGACTCTTGGCTCCTACACCTCCGGTGCTTCGCCTTGCCGTGCTGCGACTTGCGGTGCTCAGCAGACGCATCTAAGTAAGCACTGACGGCCCTGCTGCTCGCAGGGAAAGCAGACCGAGCCTCTTTGGCAGTGGCAGCAGCTGTGGAGGGGAGGAGGGCAGTGCTCCGCAGGAGGGGGCTTCTTGGCGGAGTGAACATGGGGCTAGGATCACCAGCCCCTGGACCAGCAGCTGAGGGATCAGCGCTGCCAAGGGAAGAGTCGAGGGTGGCTGGAGGAGTGCGAGGGGAGGAGGCCTCCGAATGTGTGCCGGAAGCAGTGTGCTCCATTGTAGGGCCAGAACCAGCAGCAGCAGGGTTGCTGCTGTTTGTGGTGACGGCAGGAGTGGCATTGCTGTTGCGAAGGAGCGGCACGGTGCTGCGAGAGTGGCTGCCAGAGGAGCTACTGTCAACAGCGGGCAGGGAGGGGAACTTGTTGGACGTGAAACTGGCCATTGTTGCACTGTACTCAGGCGTCTGGATGTACGACGGCTGCAGGGTGAAAAGCGCAGGGAATCGGGGGGGTAATGGGAAGAATGAAAGTTCATTTTTGTGTTAAAGACTGAAGTCTCATTTCGCATAACAACTACACAAAGGCACCCACTGGATCGAATCACCTGAAAGGTAGCCTTACCTAGGTCTCTCACACATCAACGGACCAACGGGAAAGCCCATACGTCTTCTTACCTCCGCCTCAGAAGCATCCCCTGAGTCGTCCCCAGCGAGGGCCCGAGTGCGCTGCAGAACCTTGCGGGCGAAGTCGATTCTCTCGCCCGTCACCTGGAGCTTCTCCTGCAGCGAGGCGCGCTCGTCGTCCTCCGATACCCTGCAGGCAGGCAGGCACCGCGAGCACAAACAGGGTTCTGAGGCGCCTAGACATGCAGGGCAAGAAATGGGTTCAAACACGGCTCAGAAGGGCACAGGAAACATGTCATGCATGGGTGTGAGTGACAGTGGAAGTGGCGTCAAGGCTATGTGCAGCTGGGAAAAGGGACGAGGAGTTGAAACCGAGGAACGCACTTGGAGGTGTGCTTGGTGTCGGAGAAGGAGAGCACTCTGGTAGCCCCGTCCGCATACACGTTCACGTACAACACTGCCACGGCTCGCGCCTGCGTCCCCACCATCACAAACATCCTGCGGGGCAAGGTGGGGCATGATGAAAGAGGTGGGAGGCAGAGGAAGCTTTATACAGTCAAGGGCACATGGTGGAATGGAAGGCAAGAAGATACGCAGGCAGCACGTGGGTGGTGAGCTGATGACATATCCATCCTCCTTCAGGTCCGAGCTATCTTTTGCTCCTTCAACCATCAGGAGATACCTGCCTGTCTCATCGTCAGAGACGCATCTGTCGCACTGCAACCAGTTGCCAGTAAAGTCGTTTTCAGAGAGGATGACGGTGGGAAGCTCCCTAACGTCGTCCAGGTCATCACTCACTCGCTCCCAGGCCCTTGGTGTGATTCCTCAGTGTCCTGCCGCACCAGCTGCCACTCTCCCAGAGGCCCCTACCTGTCTCGCTGCCTACCTGTTTCGCTGCCTACCTGTCTCGCAATGACGTGTTGCCGGTGAAGTCGTCTTCGGAGAGAATGACGGTGGGCAGCTCGCGGATGTCGTCCAGGTCATACTCGCGGGTCATGTTGAAGCCCTCGATCTCAACGTGCAGCAGGTGGGCCATGCGCGGCTGGCAGGACGGCAGCGAAAGGAGCGGCAAAATTGACAGAGATCATCGAATCAGGATGGTGAAGGAAAGAAAAAGGTGTAGAAAGAAAGCATGTGAAGCAGGGGAATCAGCCACTTGGACTCCCTTCAATGCCCACGAGAAACCAGCAAGTGAGGCAGCAAAGGCCTAAAATAGGCAGGGCTCCCTTGAAAAGACGCACCTGGTCCCACGCGTAGCTGGTGGAGTGGTTGGGAGGCAGCCGCTGCCGCGTGGCGGTGGTGAGCTGCCCGTACTTGATGCTCATGAAGGCCGACCGGTTCTCAATCCTGGCAGGCACATGGTTAGCGAGAGGACACAGTTGCGGATGGGATAGATAGAGAGCACCCTGAAACAAAGAAGCATGGCTTTAAACTCATGGATACTCTACTTTGGAACCATGGCACGGGATGCACATGTTGGCACGCAGTGTAATGATGCACATGTTGATATGCAGTGCAATGGTGCACATGCTGACATGCAGTGAATGGATGCACATGTTGACATGGCATGCAAAGTATGGCTCTTACCGATAGGGCGGGGGCTTGTGTTTCGAGTTGCAGACATCAAAGGTGACAAGAGCCGAGGCGCCGTTGAGCGAGACATCGATAGAGATGATGGCGTACTTGCCCTTCTTGTGCCGGTGTTTAATCCGCACTGCAGATTCCCCCGGCTTGTCTATATCAAAGGCGCCAGACCAGTCCCAGTCCACATCCATCTCCCCCTTGCTCCTCGGCCCCCTTCCCCCACTCCTCTTCAGCGCTCCAGACCCCCCTGTGCTGCTCGCTCTACTCTCCGTGTGGCTGCCACTCGTTCCACTTCCGTTCTTTCCTGATCGCCTGCTGCTCCCATCCGTGCGTCTACTGCTCCCCTCTTCCCTCCTGCTGCGCCTTTCCTCCTCCTTTCTAGTGCTACTGCTCACCCCCTGCCTGCTTCTGCCGCCACTGTGGGGCTGCCTGTTACTGCCAATGCTGCCTCTCAGCCTGCCACTTGAGGCTGTCTCTTGGGTCGTTGACAGCCCCATCGCCAGCATGTGACTGCTGCTGCTGGCCCCACCATCATCCACGCCTCCAGCTCCTCCGTCCAACCCCAATCGCACCTGACCGCTGCCCTCCATGGATTCGTCTGAAACATGCGACTCCTCTGTGTCCCTCCGCACCAGCTGCCTTTCACCCACCTCGTGTCCCTTGCGTCCCTCGAGCCTCTCCCCCACTCTCTCCCCTCTCCCATCCTCCTCCTCCCCCTCACCATTCTCCTCCTCAGAGGAAAAGCTCTCCCCGTCAGCCTCCTCCTCCTCATCCTCCTCCTCCTCGTCATCCATCTCATCATCCTCCAGCTCGCTGCTCAGCAACCGAGCCACCAGATACGGCCCGAGCCTCTCGTCATCCCAGTGGTACGGCTGCTGCATCTTGTCCCCCAGAACCTGCCAAGCGGCCACAGTGATCGAAATCAGTCAGATGCAGCAGGGGAGAGCCGTGAGTGGGGTTCAGACTTCAACCAGGGAGAACAGGGAAGCGCCATGCGGGCATGCTGCTGCGTGCAGCCGAGGCTTCAACAGCCAAACTGACAAGGAATTACGTACCCGAGCAGTGGTGGTGGTGACAAAATAAACAACGTACCCGAGCAGTGGTGGTGCCAATCTGTGCGATCTGGATGGGCTGCCCGGTCTGGTTGGACACCATGAAGCGCGGCGAGATGATCACCAGCTTCGTGCCCTCGCACACTGAAGGGGCCAGCCGCACCTCCACACCAAACTCAAAGCGCCGCAGGGTCTGGGGAGGGGGAAGCAAGGGGAAAGATGTAGGTGAGGGTGGGATGGTGAGTGGGAGTGAGGGGAGAGTGGGAGTCTGGTGAGGGTGGGGTGGTTGTTGCAGCGGTGTGGTGTGCAGGCATGGGGGCATGTGTGCATGCGTTTGTGTTAGCATTCGAGAAAGTTTGCAAGGGAAGAGAAACTGACTGGGAAGGGTGTGATGGAGGTGGCACGGCGAGAGGCAGTGCCAGCAGGAGCATCCAGCTGCACAACGTTCTCCCACTCCTCTGTTGTGTGCTGCCGCAGCAAAGCAGAACCCGCCGAAGAACCGCTATGCTGCTGCGAGGTTTGATGCTGATGCTGTGAGAGTGTGGAGGCAGGGCCAGCAACTGCAACCGACCCCTTGATCCCGACAGAATCTATTGAGATCGACTTGGACCAATGGAATCCATCCAAGCTGATCGCGGTGATCGCCCCCCGGCGCACATTGAGCAGGGCTGGCTGGCCCTCCTGGTAGCGCGGGCAGTCGAGAGGGTTGTTGGAGGAGCCAGTGGAGAGCTTGAGGCGGAACTTGGTGAGGTTGACGACCCAGTAGTGCGCGAGCAGCGCGATGCTGCGGTTGCGCGACTGCCAGTTGTGGCGGTTGTCGATGGAGAGCATTATGGGCGACGCAGATGGGTTGTGCTGTGGGAAGAGGCGGCACTTGACTGCCAGGCGGAGGCTGCGGACGTCGTAGGCAAAGGCACGGCTGCCAAACTGCTTCTGGAGCAACGGGCTGTGGGAGAGAGGTTGTGGAGAGGAGGAGATGGAGGGGGGGTTGAGAGCCTGAGAGGTGAGAGCATTGAATAGTGGTGGAGAGAGGGTGAGCTGAACGGATGACAAGGAAAGGACAAGAGTGACGGGTGTCTCTCGGGAGACCCTAATGGACACGAGAGGTTGACTGATTGGGCTCACTTGGGAGGGAAGTGGATGGCGTATCGACGGCGCGTCCTGTACTCCGCCCCAGGCACAAAGAGCTGCAGCAGAGAAGCCAAGCACATGAAGGGGGGATTGAGAATAAGAGGCATTAAGCGCTTACAAGTCGGAAAAAGAAGGGAAACAAGATGTTAGCATGACTGCACTTTGCATTTTGGCACTTTCAAAGGACGAAAAGCTTCTACACAATCCACCACGTTCATGCGATTACGAGCAACCAAGCCCCAACAAAACGTTGGCAGTGCAGAGAGGAGCCAAGGGGCTTACCGCAAGGTGCATTTGGAGTGTGTGGTCCAAGCTGACGTGATAGAGGTCCTGAGACTCGCCTGATGCAGGCAGCAGAGGAAAACGAAGAGGGAGAAGTACAGGATGTAGAACCATGATGGATGAAGGATGGCAAACAAAAGGCACAGAAGCATCAGCAGTAGTGGCAACAGGGATGGCAGCGGAAGAGGTGGAAGAACGGACAGCATCAGCAAAGCAGGCACAGCAGGGGAGTGGACTGACCAGAGGGGACGTAGACAATGTGCCGTGTGCCCCACTCCACGTCCCAGACATACGCCTCAATGTCGTACGGCAGGCCGTTTTGGATGGCCACAGGGGGCACGAAAGAGAGAGTGAACTCCTCATACAGCCCGCTGCTCGCACTGTGGGCTAGAGGATCCGAGGTCACTTGCAAGCAGCAGTAGAACGGCCGCCTCACATCATTCGCAGTGTCAAACTCCTCCAGAGAACCCCCTCCAGCACTGCTCCGATCAAAATCATCCTCTCCTTCGTTCCCCACACTCCCCCTCCTCACGCTCCCATAGTCACTCAATCTCAAGCTCCCCCCGCCATCGCTATGCCTCCGTGCCATGCTGCCGATGTGGCTCAGGTGCCGGCTGCTGCTGCTGCCTGCGCCCCCGAGCAGGGAGCGGGTGCATTGCTGCAGGATGGGAAACTCCAGCAGGCCCTGCTGCTCCAGCAGGTGCTCCGGCTCCAGCGCCACCACGTCCTTCTCAGCGCGAGCAAAGCCCTGAGTTTGAGGAAGGGGAGAGGGGGGGGAGGGGAGGGAGGGAGGGTAACTGTGAGCAGGGAAAAGAGGGGAACAGTGCGGTGCAGTGCTCGCATGTCAGATTTTACCTGGGACTAGGTGACTGTGCCTGAGCCGTGGCAACACGCACCTGTGCTTGAGCCATGAGTTGGCCTCCCAGAGCGGCAAAGATGGGCATGAAGACCTGATGCTCGGGAGCTATGGGACCTGCCACACACACAGGGCAACCCCACATGGAGGCATATCCACACATATGCACGCACAGAAGAAAGTTGAGTTACTATTACAGTCATACAGCAATGGATGAGAAAGGCAATCAACACTAGACATGGGCAGCATGCCGAGCCTGGCTCGACTCGGCTCGACTCGAACTCCAGCCAGGCAAAAGTCGAGCCGAGCCGACTAGGCTCGACCCGAGCCGGCTGCCCCAAAATGGTTGGGTCGACTCGGGGGTTCAGGGTCGAGCCAAGGGTCGGCTCGACTTTGGCTCGGCTCGGCTCGACTCGCCAAAAGGGTTTCTTCTGCAGGTTTTGAAAAGGTCTTGCTAGATCGCTGTAAAGGTTCTGCAGGTAAAGGTCCCTAAACCCTTAGATCCTTCCTACAACACCAAGAGGTACTCGAAAAAAAAATATAAAGTAGCAGTGTTGGTGGAGAGAGGGCAAGCTAGGGTGGCGAAATAGCTCAGAATTACGCTTAGGCTCGATGGCGAAAACCTAGAATGGATTGTCAACTTCCAGGAGGGTCGAATTTTGACCCCCCACGGGCGAGCCGCGCGCTTCGAGAGTCGAGCCAAAGTCGAGCCGGCTCGACTTCGGCTCGCCCTGAAATTTGCGACGAGTCGAGCCGAGCCGCGCGGCTCGACCGGCTCGACCCGGCTCGACTCGGGTCGAGCCGGCCAAAAAAAAATCCCAGCTCGACTCGCCGAGCCGAGTCGAGCCAGGCTCGGCATGGTGCCCATGTCTAATCAACACACAGCAGCAGCACACAGTGCAGACTAGTAAAATGCAACTGCAGACACAAGTGCCCCACCGAGTGAGAACTTGGAGACTTGCGAGGAGGACTTGGCAGTCTCGCCGCCGGTCTCCCTGGGGCTGGGCAGCAGCGCGAAGAAGACGAGCGGCACGTCGAGGTCGTTGCGCAGGTGCATGGTGGAGTGCACCGTGATGATCTTGGTGCGCGACTTGAGCGTCACGTCAAACACCACCGGCAGCACCACCGTGCTCCCGGGCAGCTGCAGGTCCATCACGTACTTGCCCACCTGGGTGGAGAGAAGAGGCGGGGGGAGGGGGGGATGGGGAGAGACAGGTTTAGGGTTGAACAGGAAAGTGAAGACAGGAAAGTGAAGGCAAGGTTGAACAGGAAAATGGTGCGGCATCCCTCGGGCGGTATCCCTCTGGCGGCATGCCTCGGGCGGCATCCCTCGGGCGGCATGCCTTGGGCGGCATCCCTCGGGCGGCATCCCTCGGGTGGCATCCCTCGGGCGGCATCCCTCGCCCAGCCTCCCTCGAGCGGCATCCCTCGGTCGGGCAGCATCCCTCGGGCGGCATGCCTCGGGCGGCATGCCTTGGGCAGCATGCCTCAGCGGCATGCCTCGGGCGGCATCCCTCGGGCGGCATCTCTCGGGCCGCATCCCTCGCGCGGCATCCCTCGGGCGGCATGCCTCGGGCGGCATCCATCGAGCGGCATCCCTCGGGCGGCATCCCTCGGGCCACATCCCTCGGGCCGCATCCCTCGGGCGGCATGCCTCCAGCGGCATCCCTCGGGCGGCATGTTTCAGGCTGCATGCCTCGGGCGGCATCCCTCAGGTGGCATCCCTCGGGCGGCATCCCTCGGGCGGCATCCCTCGGGCGGCATGCCTCAGGCGGCATCCCTCGGGCGGCATCCCTTGGGCGGCATCCCTCGGGCGGCATCCCTCGGGCAGCATCCCTCGGATGGCATCCCTCGGGCGGCATCCCTCGGACGACATCTCTCGGGCGGCATCCCTCGGGCAGCATCCCTCAGGCCGCATCCCTCCGTCAGCATCCCTCGCACGGCATCCCTCCATCGGCATGCCTCGGGCGGCATCCCTCGGGTGGCATGCTTCGGGCGGCATGCTTCGGGCGGCATGCCTCGGGCGGCATCCCTCGGGCGGCATCCCTCGGGTGGCATGCCTCGGGCGGCATCCCTCGTGCGGCATCCCTCGTGCGGCATCCCTCGGGCGGCATCACTAGGGCGGCATGCCTCGGACGGCATCCCTCGGGCGGCATCCCTCGGATGGCATGCCTTGGGCGGCATCCCTCGGTCGGGATGCCTCGGGGAAAGTGAAGGCAGGGTTGAACAGGAAAGTGAATGCAGGGTTGAAGCTTATACTGGTGGAGTCCTCAATGTATGCGCTGCACTGCACTCCGTGGCATTCGCCACCGCACCCTCGCCAGCCACCTTATCCATGACGATGTCGTTGATGGGCAGCCAGTCGCCCTTGAGCTTGACGCAGATGGTGCGCGCGAGGATCTTGCGCGTGTCCCTCAGCGTGACCACCTTCTGCACCGGCTGCACCTCCACCACCTGCTCCTCGCCCTCCTCCACCGAGTACGTCTTGGACTTGTCCTCCTCTTTCTCTGCGCACCACAACAAAGGCATAGAGCATCGAAATAATTTCCACATGTCAGCGCCTGCAGCACGCACCAATCATGCCTAGAGCATGCACCTATCAGTGCCCATAGCACGCACCTATCGGGCCTATAGCTCTCACCTATCAATGCCAAAAGCGGACTCACCTGTCCAGTAGTAGAGCGTGTGGCCCGAGAGATTCACAATTCTGTAGCTCACCATTCCCACCGCCACCTCCTGCAGCGATGCCTCCAGCCTCTGATGGGTGGATGGATGTATGGGATGGCAGCATGATGGTGGACGGGGCAAAGGTTGAAAGGGTTGATTGACAACGTGGACAAGGCTGGGTATGCAAAACTAGGCAAGGCAACAGTACAAGCACTTGAAATGCATCTGCTGAAGAGACAACTGTACCTCTGCAAGAGTTGCGGACTGGGGGAAGTACTCGCGTGCTCTCAGCATGCTCATGGCCTGATGGCATAGGGGTGGAGGGAGAGGAGGAGGTTGTTGTGAGTCACAAGCTGTGCACTCAGCTGACAATCTGCTGATGAGGGTGGAAACAGGACCCAGATAATTCCCTGTGCCGATGAGTCCAAGTGCGCTATCACATCCCCACTCAACATCACATTGCATATCTATCAAGACAGAAGCCAGGAAGCAACCACTTGGGATCGATCCGTATCATGACATATACCTTCCGTCCCTCCAACCAAACCCATCCTTTCCCCAAGACACCCCTGTTAGAATATGCTGCTCTATTTATTAGCCTACATAGATCAGTTAGTCTTTGGTCATTATAAGCAACACACTACAATAAGGGTGTACACGCAGCCTAATTGGGGGTTGGGTTCCCAAGATTGATTGGGTTTTCAGAAGTGGTTGGGCTCTCAATTGGTTGGCCACTAGCCCACTGGCCCACCAACCCACTAGATCAATGGACCACTTGTCCATTGGTCCACCAACTCACTAGATCAATGGACCACTTGTCCATTGGCCAACACCAACCCCCCCCCCCCCCCTCCCTTTCTTAGACCTCATCTATGTAAACTCCTCTGTCCTAATGCAAACTATCACTTTGGTTTCTCACAACCCCAGCCGTCGGCCTAATGACTCACTCTGGCCATCTTGGCCGAGCTGGCATGTTGGAGAGCCGGCCCTACATGAGCCGCTGAGGATGCTGCAGACCCAAACTGCACGGTGGAGAAAGAAGGCAGTCAGAGTGAAGGAAGACAGTGACGAAAGAACACAGCAGCGAGAGGCACGAAAGGAAGCAAGATAGCTGTACATTCCCAAAATGCCTGAAGAAAGAGAAAGCCATAGCCACTTGCACGTATGGAAAGCCACATGCACGATGTGCAACTCGTACCCTGTACCCATGCATACAATACCTCATCAAAGTCACTTCCGCCGTGCATGCTGCCCCCAGGCACGGGAAGCAGCGAGTTGGAGAGCATGGTGTAAAAGTTGAGGGCGTCTCCCAGCGAGCGCAGCTGCATGGGCGTGAACATCACGTTCAGCAGCTCGTGCGAGTCCACCGCTATCGTCACGTGGTTGCCCGTGGACTTGACTTCAGCGCCCAGCTCCCACGCCTCTGTCATTGGCTCCATGATCTGCAGTGGGCAGAGGTACAGGAGGCACAAAGGCAGAGTGCATATAGGCAGGGGGGACGTGCAGCGGTAAGGGGGGAGTTGGGGGGAGAGAGAAGAGGGGGAAGGGGTGAGGAGGGGGCTTCGAGAAGATGGAGAGAGGGGAGACTCACTAGGAGGGAAGGATAGGGGAGAGATTATTGACAGCGGGCGACAAGGAGGCAGAGATGGCGGCAAGTCAAGGGAAGGCAGCGGGAGAGGAGGTACCTCGAAGCCGGAGTTGAGGAAGTTCGAGAGCAGGGTGAGGGAGAGGCGGCAGGAGAGCAGCTCGGGCCCGCCGTCAACCAGAATCTGGCTGCTGGCGTTAAAGGTGATGCTCTTGGCGGCCAGCTCCAGCACCGACGTGGGGTTTCCCATCCTGAATAAGCGGGGAGGGTTGATGTTGATGAAAGGATGAAAGGGCAAGATGCACCGGAGTCGAAAACAACGGCCAGGGTGTGCCGTGTGCGCGCCAAACAACAAAAAGGCCCGACCCATGGGTAGAATGAGCATGTCAATATACGTGCCGCCTCATAGCACAGTGTCTCTCTCCTCACCTGTCGTCGATGAGAGCCACAAAGAGCTCGTGGATCTGCAGGTTGACGCCAAGCTTGGACGGCACAAAGGCGGGCGGCAGCGGGTCCCCGTACAGGCCCAGCTTCTGGTGCAGCAGGTTGCCCTGGCTGCGCTTGAGGCGGATGTTGAGCGTTCGGAGGAAGGAGCTGAGCACCACCAGATGCTGCTTGGGATAGGGGTGGGGAGTGAACGGGTGGTGGGTTGAAAAGTGAAGAGGGCGCAGAGAGTGTTGAGTCACGAACAAGACACACTGACGCAGGCATTCAGAAGGAGAGGAAAAAAAAAAAAAAAAAAAAAAGATGGAAGATGGAAGAGGTGCTGTAGAGGGGAGGGGGAACTCACAGAGAAAACAAAGTAAACGGGCAGACGGCCAGGCTTGAAGGAGGTGCCGCTTGAAAGCGCCCCAGTGGTGGAGGCAGGAGACGCAGCAGCAGAAGACGAAGAGGCAGACGAGAAGAGAGAAGGATGGACATCAGGTGTAATGTGCAGCAACAGCAGGCTGGCCTGCTTATTGACTTGCTTGGGTGAGTGCTGGCTGAACAAGAGCTGAGCCGTGAACTCCCCGAAGAAATCATGAGGGGCGAAGTACTGGGACTGGTGAATGAACACACTGCTGACGCGGATAAAGTCCACCAGCAGCTTGCTCTCCCCGTCCCCTCCAGAGAAATGCCCAAATCTGAGCGTCCTCCCCTTGATCTTCAGCCCGTGGGCCTGGAGCTCTGAGAGAAAGAGGTCCACATCGTCACTCCAGATTTGAAGCTCAGGCACCCACACCGGCTCCAGAAAGGTGTGCCTCGCACTCGCAAACTGCCCGCTGGCGTTACTGCCAGTACTGCCAGCAGCCGCAGCAGCAGCAGCAGCAGCAGCAGCAGCAGCAGCAGCACTGATGCCAGTGCGGCGATTCGCACCCAGTGCCTCAGGAGCATCGTAGAATCGGTCAGACTGGCTGAAGGGAGCAGGCATGCGGGAGTGGGCTGAGTGGAAGGCTGGAGAGTCAGCGGTGATGGGTGATGGGATGGCGAGGCGGGAGCGGTCAGCAGGAGGAGGGCTGGAGGGGTGGGAGGAGGAAGGAGGCGGGAAGACGTTGATGAGGCTCTCCTCTGGCACTGGAAGCAGCAGGTCGAAGTCCTGATGGAGGGGTGGAGGGTTGTAAGGACAGAAAATGAACATGTTAGCTAAGCTCGCTCTTGTAAAACAAAGTGCAACCAAGGAAGGAAGAAAGTATCGATGACTAAAAGCACTAGATTGTGAATGAATGCATAATCACGCTATCTTATGGCTCCATTCCATATTGTCTGACCTTGAAATCTCTGGTTCAAAAAAGCATTCACCGTCATTTCAGAAGGCAGAGTTGAGACTCACATGCAGCAGCACGTTGATCATCAGCCACGAGTCTGGCTGAAGGCTGGCGGGCCCCAGCGCACACCCCGGCTTCTGAAAGTACCCCGCAACCACCTCCTGCAGCTCCCACACCAGCGAGAGGTCTGTGTAGAAGGGCCACACGATGCCCGTGCGTTCCAGCACCACCTGCACGCCCACCGCCCCCTCCCTCTTCATCACCACGTTCACCAGAAACGACCTGTCTAAGTCGCACCCGAGCCCTCGCCCGGTGTCTCCTCCCAGGGGGGTAGTGCGGGGGCGGGGGCGGTTGGGAGGTGAGGAGAGGTGCAGAGGACTGGGTGCAGCAGGAGGGGGATTGGAGGATGGGGTTGTGGCAGGGGATGGCTTGGCACGCTGTGTGTTTGTCTCGATGATGGCCAGCTGAAGGGATGGGGGGAAGGGGGAAGATGGGGGAGTAACAAGGAAGGTCAGGAGTGGACATGGGGGAGAAAGCGAGGAACGGCTGAGACTCTGGTTGAGTGACATTGGACATGGGTGATAGGCGTGATGGATATGGTGATGAAGAGAGCGAATGAGTTTCAGCTGACTGGGTGGAATCGCTAACCTCTGACTCGGAGTACTTGAGGAACCTATCATCTGTCATGAGCAGACGGAACGCCTTCACTGTCACTTGCGAGAACTGGAGCAATGCAGCAACACGGGAAGCAGCAGGGTGAGTGGCAGTGAGGGAGGAAAGAGCAGGATAAGCAGGGGGAGAAGGTGAAGAATGGAAAGTACAGAAGCATAGGAAACTAATGTGCAAGTTGGAGGACGAGAATGGCTCACGTCAGTGTAGTTGGAGGAGACAATGGTGAGGCGATGCACTCTCAAGGACAAAAGGGGATCACCAAAGCTGGAGGGAGGAGCAAGCGGGAAGTGGGCAGGGAGACCAGGAAGAACTCATGATCCTTGTTGGAAAACCAGCGCGTGTGTGTAGGCAATAGACTCATACTAAAAAAGCAAGGGCAGTCTCGAGAAATAATATCTTCAACCCAAGACTGGTGGGATGCGCTGAAGAAGCTCATATCTTCCCGAAAGCATATACCAACCTGAACAATTCTCAATCTACACACCCGCTCTCGGCCAGAGTGGCAGGCCGTTCTATCTCCGCCCTGATGACAGCGCGGCCAAAATCAAGCTGGATCTCGAGGTTGGGGGTGAGGCCTGCCAGGCTCACGCAGGGGTCTGGAGGAGCGCCACCACCGCCCATGGGCTTCCCCACCAGGGGGTTGTGCACCTGGTCGTCTGATGGGGCATGGCATGGAGTAAGGTGGAAGGTGACATGGGGGTGGTGGGGGGGTTGGCATGGGGTCAGGTGAGAAGTGACATGGGGTGGACGTATCACTGGCAGAAAAGCCTCGGTGCCAATTAGACAGTTGGCAGTATAAGCTGCTGCTGCTTCAGCCAGGAGATAAGCCCAGATATGGAGGTGTGTTGTGGCACGCTTTGCACTGTGCACAATGCAATGCCCTGCACTGCACGGAAGTGTTAGAATATTCTACCTTCATTCTATTAGCCTACATCGTTTCATTGTCTTAGGTACCTATACGCACCCCACTAAGGTGTATACACCCAAGTTGGGGGTTAGGTTCCCAACCTTGTTGGGTTCCCAAATTGGTTGGGCTCCCAATTATTGGAACCCCCAAATAATCCCAACCAAGATTATTGGACCCACCAGTAATCTTGGCTAGGATTATTGGACCCCCAATAAGTAGGCCAACCCAACTTATTGGATTGACCAATAATCGTGGTCACCTCCCAACCAAACCCCCCCTCCTACTCCTCACCTATGTATACCCGCTCCTTTCCTAATACAATTAACTACTTTTTCACCTTTTCTCACAGGAAGCCCACCTGTGAAGGTGCAGCCCTCTGCGAAGTTCTGGAAGATGAGGGTCGTGAGAGCATTGTACTGAACAAGGCCCAGGTGAATCTGTTATCAAAACGACTCAAAAATGGAAGCCCACCTGTGAAGGTGCATCCCTCTGCTAAGTTCTGGAAGATGAGGGTCATGATGGCGTTGTACTGCGTGAGGCCCAGGCGAATCTCCACCTGCGGCCAGTGCACGTGCACCCGGGCTGGCTTGGACTGGCGGGGAGAAGGGGAAGGGGGTGGGGAGGGAGCAAAGCAGAATACAGTGGAGAGAGACATGGAATAGGGTGGCTTGAGACGCTAAGGTGAGTGGAAAAGAGAAGGGGAGACTATACATTCCCCCACTTCGACTCAGCAGCACTAGCACCGTCCATCCTAGCCTCGCACACCCGAATTGCCTGCAACCTGCACCAGTTGACCGCATGTCCTATCCCACCCTCAACCATATGCCCAATCCCATCCAACCATATGTCCTATCCCAGTCAGCCATACGCCCTATCCCCCAGCCAACCAAGTGCCCTATCCCAGTCAGTCAGCCCATACCTGCACGGAGATGAAGACATCACTCTCAGAGACAATGTTCCGCTCCACCTTGGGGGTAACGCTCTGGTGGAGGTGGAGACGAAGAGAAAAGGAGGCAGGGGGGGATGAGAAGGCATGGAAGAATGCAAGTTCAAGGAGGGGATGCACAGATTTGCAGAGCAGTAGCAACACAGGGCTTCTATGGCACCAGAAGGCAGTTAACAGCTGCGTAAGCTGGCAATCGTTTCCCTCAACTCCAAAAACCTCCACAAAACAGGAATCGTCCCCCAGTTCATGCCATAGGGCCATTACCCAGAAATTATCTCCTGAAAAGCAACTCTGATTGGGCAATGTGGGTGCCTAAGAAACCTGACGAAACGGAGGAGCACATCAAAGAGCTGCTGACCTTAGAAGGGGACCAGTAGGCCCCAATGCGGGAGAGCTGAACGCCAACAGAGTCGGAGGAGGTTGGGGGGGAGTGGTCGAGAGCATCCACCAGGGGCTTCCAGAAGAACGGGTCCTTCGGGCAGATGCTGGAAGAGAGTCTGGGGTGGAGGGAAGAAGGGGGGACTGACGGGGATAAAAATAATTGTTGAAGATTTTCCAGTAGGGTGGGTGCATGAATCACTGCACGGTGTGCACGTACCTGGCATGATGGCATCTGTGCAGTGTGTGTTGGGTCAGAGGCGCATAGAGAAAGAACGTACCTTTGCAGCGTGTGCTGGGCCAGGCGCTGAGAAGCAGGAGTGGGGACGATGAGTGTGATGGTCTCCGCTCGCACATCCAGAGACTCCTCGCTCCATGACGACCTGACATGGGGCAGAGACACACACACACACATGTGCTGCGGTTTTTGGCAGAGACACGCGTGCAGCAGTATGTAGCTGCGACACAGCAGCAGCAGAACACAATACTTGCACACAGCAGGCGCTTCTCACAGGAGCCAGCACCACAGTGGGAGGCAGAGCATTACTCACAGTGGGAGGCAGAGCGACAAGTCCGAGATGTGCAGGAACACCAGCGGAGGGGCTTCACCTCCCTCAGAATCCCCAGCTGCTTTACCCTCCTCGCGTTTTGACCCCTCACTCTTGGCACCCTGGCTCTTGGCTGAGCTGCTGTCTTCTTTGGATGGACCGGCTGCCTGCTAGCAGAGTAGTCAGAAAGGGGTCAGAGACGACAGGAGCTAATTACTCACGTGTGTTAGCACACAGGAGGGGGGATGGCAGCAGGCTTTCACCTGATGAAAAACCTTTGGATGGCTTATGCTCAATTAAATCCAGCACATGTGGGGGACGAGGAGGGGAAGATACACCTGGGTTGAGGAGACGGCTACTGTGGGGTGCAAACTGTGGTGAAGCGACGGGGGCAAGGGCTGCATACCTGGGGTGAGAAGATGGGGACAAGGCGCTCAACGAAGTGGGCGAAGTCGTTGAAGAAGCGGCAGATGCCAATCAGCCGTGTCTGATGGCTCTCCACAAACACACACACCTGCCCGCTCGCACAGGGGTCGGTAGAGAATAGAGTCAGCGGATGGACGGAAAACCTTCAGCGAGAAAACCGCAGCAGGGGGGGGTGCAGGTCTGAGCTCAGATGAAAGCAAGTGTGAGCAGATAAATTGAGTACGGATGCATCGACTGAGTACCTGGAGCCATGGTGGGTTTGAGTTTGTTGTTTGGTGTGTGAGGTGCCAGTGGCGCATGTGACATGAGCTGTGCACTCTTTTTGTGGGTGTGCCAGGGGGCATGGCTTCTGGTCTGTGTGGTAACTTCCCATGCCCACTTGCCATACCTGAGGAATGGCAGGTAGGTTCGATCCTCGCTGGACCATGTTCTGACGAACCACAAGGCTGAGGCTCGGAAGGTCTCCGTTGGGCTGAAAGATGTGGGAGTAGTGTCTGCTTGGGAAGGTGGGGTGGGGCGAACTAGAAGTCAGAAGGGAAGCCTCACAAGGCAGGCATCCACCAGGCAGGCATCCACCAGGCGGGCATCCACCAGGGGGGCATCCACCAGGGGGCATCCACCAGGCGGGCATCCACCAGGGGGCCATCCACCAGGGGGGCAGCTGGAAACCAAACAAGCAGCAAAAACGTCATGAGCGTGCAGTGTGGTATTTGAAACATCAGAGATCAGGGCCGGTTGGAGGGAGGGTGGGTGGACTCACGGGGAGTTGGCCAGCATGTCGACCACATCCAGATTGCCCACTGTCATGTCCACATCCACTGCATCTGGCTGCGATGTGATGTCAACCTTCACTCTCTGCATGATCACGCTGCCGAAAGAAACCCCTCCAATCGACATGATCACCATGCCACACCCAAGCTCCGCCTGCAACTCCCACACCTCCTCATCCTCTGAGTCCCCCTTCCCATTCTCTCCATCTGACTCATCTCCCAGCCACTTCCCTCCCCTAGCTCTCCACCCACTGGACGAATACACCCTGCTCCCTTCTCCCCTCCCCGCTGCCTTTCCTCCTGCACCCCCCAGCCCCCCTCCTCTGACTCCCCTCCCACTCATCCCTTCCAGCGGCTCCCCGTTGGAGTGCCACTCGGAATGTGGGCCCAAGATGTCGATATTTTGCGTACTTTCATCCAGAGAAACCTTCTCTGCTGCCCTCTCAGTACCCTCGTCAGAAGCCACGGAAGTACCTGTCCCTCCCTCCCTGCCTTCGAACCCTCCTCCCATGTCCTGGCTCAAACGCTTCCTTCCCTGCACCCTATGCAAGCGATACCCTCCAGAAGGCCCAGAACCATCCACTTCTCCCTCCCTAACCTCCTTCCCAGACCACCTGCCTCGGTCTCGCATCCCCTCCATTTCCTCCTCCTCATCCTCCTCCTCCTCGTCTGTCCCCCTAAAGGACACGTGCAGCTGCCCATCAGACTGGCTTCTCGTTTGGTTCTGAGTAGAAGCAGGAGCAGCAGAGGAGGCGGCAGGGGGCGCGCTCCTCCAATCCCTCTCGAAGTCACTGCCTCCAGATGGCTGCAGCTGGCAGGCTTGGGATCCGGGGGGGATAGGAGTCGTGCTGACTCGGGAGATAGCGGCCTGAAGGTGAGTTAGGAAGGTCAGCACAGCTGATAGGCTGTTGGTGTCGCTGTAGGAAAGGAGGGAGGGGGACGGGGATTGGTGAAGAAATGGGAGAAAGACAGGATGAATTGGAATGGAGGGGAAGGGATGGACAGGAGGGAAGTGGTTGAGGGAATAATTTGAGGGGAGTGGTTAAGGGAATAATTTGAGGGGAGTGGTTGTAGTGAGGAGATACGAGCATGTTTGGGACGCAAGCAGCATTACGGTGCTGAAATTCAGCTGTGTATTCAGCTGTGCAAAGGGGTGTACCAGGCGAATGGGAGGAGGGCGACTCGCACAGCCACCTGGTGAAGTGTTCCCTTCTCGTGAAGCTGCACTGCGACCTGCAGGGCAGTGTGGGCCCGACACACACCCCAGCAGCACACAAAAGAAGGGGTGTATCGATCAACGGGAACAGGTAAAGAGGATGGACAGCTAACGCTCAAGTGGGTGCCTTCTCTATCTGCCATGCATGCAGGCGATAAGCTTTGCACCAGGCCCACGGGCAGCAAAAACCTGACCCTGCACCTGAGCCATAACGAGCATTCAATTCACCCCTTACTTGAAGTTTCAATCATAAGCAACAGGCCATTGACCCTGCACGTGAGAGCCATGAGCAGCAGAGAACCATCCACGCACCTGAGCCTTGGCTCGCTGCAGCGCCTCATAGGCAGCCAGAATGCCCTCCTGGCTGTGACCCCTCGCCACCACTGTGTTAAGGCGCCAACGGTAAAACGCCTGAGCGTTTTCAAAACATTGGTGGGGAGGGGAACAGAGGAAGATGTGATGAGCATCAGACACAGACACAGGTACTGTCGCTAGCCGACAGAGTGCCGGGAAATGCCGGGCACCCCTCGAGAGTTATCCTCTCACACCACTCACGGCCTTCCCCCTCGCGCCCCTGGCGGACTACACCCCACTGGCTTTTCCCCCCGCTCCCCATGAGATTTTCCCCACACACCACGCGGGCTTTTCCCACACACCCCGACCCATGGCATGAAGGCTCACCGGTGCTGTCATTGCCGTTCCTGGAGGAAAGAGCCTCCTCACAGATGCTACCTGCAAGGGCAAAACAGGATAAACAGAAAAGGTGAGGCAAGAACGAAGGAGGCAAGAAAAAACGCGATGGGGGAGTTGACGAGGGAATAGGGGGCAGAGAAAGAGCGACTCACAGGAGGGAAGATCCGGCCACTGGAGATTCCTCTGAGCAGCAACACGAGAGAGAACTGGTGCAAGAAGTGCAATGGGAGGAAAGTGGGGGGTGAGGAGGGGAGAATGAGAGTGAGATATGGGATGGAAAAAGACAGACACGGGTCTGGGAAGCACGACCCAGGTTGAAAAAGGTGAAACGGAAAGACAGCATCAAGGATGGAAGAACAAAAGCCCAAGTGGCACCATATGGGCAAAGTGCACATAAGAGGCTCAGTCTCAGTCAGATGTGGCGGCACACCTGGTCGTTGTGCTGCTCGGCCTTCACACGTATCTTGTCCAGGCGCACTCGAAACACCACCACTGGCTCCGGGCGCAGGTCCTCCAAAGCTGCAGCCGACCCTCTAGCAGAAGCAGCTGCTGAAGCTGAGCTCGACGCAGCAGCAGGTGACAGGACCATGGGAGTAGGTCCTTTAGGAGGCAAGCCCTGCATGTCCTTTGCGGTGTGCAGCACGGCTTGCACCGCTGCAGTGTCGGACGAGGTCACCCACTGGTGGCAGTGGCACACACCATAGGGGCAATCCGCCTTTCGGTGCGGCACCATCTCCTGGCATGCCTCCACCACGAAGCCACCTCCCTGCAGGCGTAAGGATGTGAGGGAGGTGTGTAGCAGTAGGTGCATGAGAAGAGTGGCGTGGTTGAAGTTGTGCGTGCGGCACAAAAAAGGTGTGGTGGAAGATGTGTTATAGGAGAGGCGTGAGTTGAGTGATAGGCGATACGTGTACTGAGGTAAGAATGTGTGTGCAAGGTCAAGGATTTGAAGTGGGGAATAGGGTGAGGGGTGTGTGTCTGGAAAAAGGGCATCGGGTTTAGGGTTTGGGAGAGAGAGGGTCATGGTCGGAAGGGAGGGTACAGTGTAGGGTGGGGTAGGGGTTGCAACTAGGCACAACAGTTGACGGCGGGGACCTGGACCTGGAATTCACTGCTTCTTGTTTTATCTGTAGAGCATGTTTTTGCTTTTGTTCACATGGGGATGACAAACCTTGAAGGAGACTCTCCATCCCAGCTGCTGAGCTCCAGGTATAACTGGGGGAGGTGGCGCTGGTGGTGGCGGATCCTTGGAGGCTGAGGGGAGATCGGCCTTGCTCGCAAAGGTTTCGATCATGCTGCAGGAAGGGCGGGAAGGACGGCGTGAAGGAGGGGGACGCAGGGAATCGGGGGAGGAAGGGTAGATCATGTTAGGCTTCAGAATAGCAGAACTCAGCATGCAGTAAAGGAGGGGGATGGGAGCCTGGAAGCGAATGCAATTGGGATCATCCAGGCTTGCTTCATCCATCCGGCTTAGTAACACGGACATGACGGCATGAATGAACACATGCTTTAATCCAGCACGTGCAGAGCTCTTACATGTGCACGAGGCGAGAGACCTCCTTGGCAATGAGGGGGGAGAGCTGAATGACAAGGACTGAAGTGACCAGCTCCGCACTCAGCAGCTGCACAGTGGAAGGGAAGGTGCGAGCGCATGTGAGAAGGGCTATGGCAAAAGGGGAGGTGCAAGGGTAGTGTAAAAGGTTGTCGGCTGAAAGAACGAAAGATGAAACGAAGATGCAATTGGTCCAAGAAATGTGTAGGGAGGGAGGGAGGATGGAGCGTGTAGGGCGGGGATGAGGAAGGCGATGGTAAGAGGCGGAGAAAAAGCAGAAAGGGGATGGAAGAGGGAAAGGGTACGAGGAAGTGGAGGACTGGGTCTTACCGTGGTTGGTTTGTCTCGAATGGGCTCAGTGCAGCGACCGACAGATGCACTGACTGACATTGACTTGCAGAAGTCCACCCTGGAAAGAAGAACACAAGTAACATACAAATGATGTGGGGACACAAAGGAGTCAATGTACACAATGGCATACATGGACGTAGGTGGAAGAGAAGCGTTTGAGCACGGGAGCACTTGCACTAACGGGATTTGGGTAGTAGGGGATTACCTGTCTCGCAAGTCAGCAACGTTAGAGAGGGAAGCACGGGCCAAGAATGCCTCGATGGTGAGGACAACCTTGACCTGCTCCAGAGAGTTAGGCGGCAGTGGGCCCACATGCTGCCGTTGCATCCACCCCTTGTGCGATGACAAGGACGCCACTGCCTCGCGACACCTGGCAGCCACAGATTGGTCGTCAGCAGATTCCCCTGGTTCTGACGAGCTGGGATCTTGCTTCTGGTGAACGTGAACGACACTGTGTATAGTGAGCAGGAGAAGAGAGAATGGGGGAAGGGCGGGAAGATCAAATGAGTGCTAAGCAAAAAGGGTGCTGCAACGCAAGAAGGATCATGAATCAGGCAGAACTATGTGTGTGGTCATCACCTCTCTGACGGCCTTGTGTCCAAAACAATCTCTGATACGAATATCACCAGCAGGGGCGGGGTCAGCGCTACAGGTCTCCTCCTCTGTGCTCCCTTTCCCGGGGACTGCCACGCTTGACCTTGCTTCTGCTGCTGGATCCGCTGCCGTTGGGGTGGTCGCTGGTGATTCTGCTGTGGCTGTGATTGTGGCCTTGGCTGGTCCATCCCCGAGCCAAAGAATGCCTGAAAGTCGCGGTCACCTCCAGCTGAAGACAGCGGTGAGCGGTGAGGGGTGGCAGGTGCTGGTGGTGGTGGAGGGCGAGGTATGACGTCCTGTTGGATGGATGAGGCATAGGGCACGGGTTGGGATTGGAATCAGGGAATGAGAAGGGAGTCAAGGAAAGAGTGCAATGAAGCCATGAATACATAGAAAGCTGAAAGGGCATCACAGGCTCTCGCCATTTCCGGCAGAGGTACAGGAGCTGTGTCTGTTGTTTTATTAATCTTCTGTACTCACAATGTCACGGCATGGGATGATGAACAGTATGCTGCCAACCCGGGCAGCAACCTCTGGCAGGTTATCCCTGACATGCTGCACTCGCTTCCTCGCCACGTGCTGCCCAAACTCCCTCACATACGCCTGCAGATCCGGGAACAGAGCCGGGTTCAGCGATATCGCACCACCGTCACGGACGCCACAGCTGTATCCAGTGGAATCACCGGACATGCCTGGAGGCCTATCAGCAGCACCATCCAGAGCACCACTGCTCCAGGAATCCACGCCTCTGGAGTCTCCCCTCCTCCGGTACAGGTAGTGCTGCTGCTTGGTGATATCCGGCATCCACTCACTGTCACCTGAACCACCTGCTGCACCTCTTGCTATCCTCTCCGCGCCTCTTCCCCCTACCCCTTCTCCTGACCATCCCATTCCATCTCCAGCTCCAACCTGAGCCCGGCTGGTCACATCCTCTCCAGAGACCATACCCCTGTAAGGATCCGCTCCAGGCTGTGAGGGCAGGGGGGCAGGCACTCTGCCTCGCCACTGGCTGACAGCAATGGAATTCGGATCCGTGACTGCAGGTGGTTGTGACTGAGACGAAGGGGAGGAGGAGAGGAGCTGCATGAGCTGGAAGAGCCATCGGCGGTCGAGGAAGACTCGGAGGGGAGACATGTGTGCCTCCACTCGTGTGTGCAGCCGCAGCAACTCGTCCTCGCCCCAGCCAAGCTCCAACTGGCCCAGTCCATCCTCCCCTTTCCACTTCACCTCGTCATTCCCCCCTTTACCTCTCCTGCTCCTTTCCGTCCTTTCATGTGTTGCCTGCTCACTCTCCCCCTCCACCCCTTCCACAGGCCGCTTCAGAAACTGCAGCTGCTGCTTCTCCTCTGCTGTCTCCACCGCATCCTGGCCCTGCTGCAAAGCCCCCGTGTACCTCTTAGACCGGACTGACCGAAGGAAGCGAAGGAAACGGCCGGAGCGCTTCTTGAGATCTGAAGGGCACAAGAGATGCCGCCTGCCCACCAGACAGGTGGGCAGCTGGCAGGGACGGGGCTGAGAGCCGTGCCTCTGGCTGAAACAGACAGCCAGGAAGGGAGTGGCGCCTGAGGAACGAGAGGAAGATGCAGAATCACCAGCTGCTGCAGCAGACACAGCAGCGTCGTTAGGAGGGAAAGGCTGCATTGGGGAAGGTTGACTTGAGCCAGGGATTGAAGATGGTGATGGAGACGAGGCACGTGGGCCAAAGGCAGGTGAGGAGGTAGTGGAGGAAGGAGAGGAGGAGGACTGGAAGAAACCGACAGACTGCAGGATGTTCCCAACGCACTCGCTCTCAGGGACATAGAAGTTCCTCACCAAAAGCTTCCTGCATGACACCTCAGCATGAAGAGCACCCCCCTGTGTGAGCCTCAGCACGACGTCATTCAGCGACACCTCAGCACCCCAATCGAGATCCGACGCTGACGTCAGCAAGAGGCACAACTTGGGGCAGGTAAGGCTGCTGCTGACCTCAACGACCTGTCTCTGAGCCTGAGGCTCGGGAAACGACCCACCAGAGAGCAAGTAGTTCAAATCCTGGAGCTTACTGCTCACATTGGCCATGTGCGCAGCCCATACCGGTTCCCTGCGGGGCATTCCCTCAGATTCTGCTGCCAGTGCCACTCTGAACCGCACAAACGCGCAGTTGAGCGTGCCTAGCTGCTGCTCCAGCTGCTGCAGGCGCGTCTGTGCTGCACTCACGGACCAGCAACGGCCTGCAATGAAGTCACTGTACTGCTTTTCGTACTGCAGGCGCATGGTGGCTTGGACAGAGTGCGACAGCCCTGTCATTTCAACGTCCATAGCTGCTGCTCGCAGTTCTCTTGCCACGTTTCCTATGGCATGCCGCCACCACGCCCTGGGGTCTTCAAGCACCGGAGCACGAGGGCGCGTCTGTCTGTACTTAGCATAATCCGTGAATTCAGCCAAGTCCACAGCCAAGCCAGACAGGTACTCTACAACCACTTCGTTCGCACTCAAGATGAGAGCGCCCATGTCCAGCGAGGCAGATGCCACCACTCCGCTGACCTTGCTGCCCTGGTGCCATACACCCCATCCCGCCTCCACAGTAACAGAAAAGCTCCACCGCTTCACTACAGTCACAGCAACAGCAGCCCTCTGCGGAGCCTGCTTGTGCAGTCCTCTAGAAGAAGCAGTCTTGCCGGCTGGAGCACTGCCGGCTTCAGCCCTTGAAGCCGGAGGAGCTGAAGGCCTGCTTGACTCGTTCACGAGTTCGAGCTTGCAGCCTCGCACGTCCACTACCTTTGCCCTGGGAAGCAGCAAGTCAGTGGAAGCTGGAGAGCCGTTGGTGACGCTGAGAGAGTCGAGCCTGAGGGCGAGAGTGCGGTGGAGGCGCTGAGGCAGGGAGCTGAGGCTGCTGGGTCGGAAGCGGATGGTCACTTGGGAGATGGAGACCTGCGTGCACTGTGCTGCTCGGAGGGCAACGGTGAATATCAAGAAGTCTAGAAACTTCTGGAAGAAGGAAGGAGGGGGGGAGTTGTCATCCCAGAGTAACCTGTCAATGTCTGTCAGCATTTGCCGCTGCCTGGCCCGCTTCTCTGCCTCCACCTGAGCGTCGAGCCACCAGCTCTCCTTCTCAGAGGGGAACTTGCGAGAAGTCAACTCCACGTGGAACCCCGTGATTCGCAGAGAGATGTTGCTGGCGAGGAGGAAAGCCAGGAGTGGAAGCGAGAGCTCCAATGTCTCCACCTTAGCGGATTGTGCTGATAACGGGAGGTCCAGGGCGTCAAGAAGCAGAGGGGACAGCTGAAGGTTCTCTATGATCAGCACGCCTCTGGGTTTAAGCTTCCAGCGAGTCTGACTCTTAGGACTTCCAACTGCTCTGACCAGTGCATCGGCGAATGCAGACAGGATCAAATCTCGGACACCAATGAGCGTGCAAATCATGACCGCCGAAAAGGCCAACCACCAGCCGATCACCTGGGTCCACGCCAGCATGCCAGGTGTCAACATTCTCCAATCGCCCTCCAGCCAAGCCCTGAGCATGGAAATGGCCATGCTTCCCAAATGACCGTTGCCAGCACTGACGCTGGTAATAGGCAGGTCCAGGAGATAACTGATGATAAAATCCCATGGTAGTAGGTTGTCCGTGTGAAATACGAGGAGAAACAGTAGCCATTGGATGGCAGCTGGAATCAACGGCCTTAGAAGCCGGAATAGAAGAGCCATTTGAGGTCATGAATGTGAAAGCACGTGCTGACAGAGGTCAGTAACGCCCGTCATTTATTTTTATATTAGATATATCCTGAGAATGAAGAGGAATCATTCGCAGAGAAATGTAAATGTCAAGTAACCGAGAGGAATAGGAAATACAGACGTTCACAGCTCTGAAATTCCTCCACATTTAAAACCCTTTTGTAGGGACACCTACCTGGCTGACGATCCTCTTTCCGCTGGAACCAACAGCCGTAGATGCTGGCCTCAAAGTAATGAGGATTATAATAAGAGCTGACAGAAGGCAGTAACGTCCTTCATAACCTGCATTTACAGAACAGGAGCCGTTAGCAGCAGGATGTAACGCAATTCGTTGTGAGAAGCTCGTGAAACCACGTATGCTGTGACGCGAAACTTAGAGATAACCATGAATCAGCGGGTCGCTGACAATCAGAACCATTGAACGAGAAGACGAAACTAATCGCCAGGAGCTCGCGAAAAGCAAGGATCACAGTGTGCTGCACGATCCAGAGTCACCGGGTAGTTGACAGAAAACAGTTATCAGGAAATGCCGTCAGGTAACCAACCTGAAAGTCCTTCGCAATCCTGGAAAATCTCACGGTCGATGCTTCGTATTGCAGTGTTACCCGGCTGACGAACCTATTTCAGCCGGGACCAACATCGTGGAAGCTGGAACAGAACGGACACTTAGGTCATGCGAGTAACGCTCCTAATACGAAATGATGGAGATCAGTAACGTTCTTCATTTACTTCATTATTATAGCCTAAATAGAGCAGACTGGAACAATCAGCAGCGAAATGTAGTCATCGTGGGTAGATCCTTCCTAGGCGCTTGCGAAACAGAAAGACGGTTTCCTGCACGACTCAATGTTAAACATAAATCGGCGATGGTTGACAACCCTACAGAAAGCTATCTGGAACGACGTGAAGTCGGCAGGCTGAGATTCAGAGTAAAGGCCGCAGCGCTGGACCTTTCAGCCACAGCATCCCTGACAAAGATAGCGCTCCTATCACTCCCTCCGTAATCCCACTGAAACATCAGCACTGAAGGAATGGTCCCAAGAAATGAAGTGACTGCCGCTCCAGAACACCAGCATTTCCAAAATGGATGGCTCTCAACCAGGATAAACCGCACAGCACCGCTTTCAACTTGACAAGATCAATTGTCGTCCAGTTTGGCTGCATCTTGATGGTGAGCTGTAGCCCCTCAGAGCAGCATATTCGAGGTACCTTTGGTTGGTTTATATGTACTCGATATGGAAAACCTTTTACTCTGGCTTTTCACCTCCCAGCTAGGAGTGCCTCAGATTGTAGGCTTTTTACCCTGATTCAGGGTAAAATCAGGGCTTTTTTGGGGGGTGACCCTGATGAGACAGGATTTTTTTAAGATAGAGGCCTGAAATTTCAGGGTTTTTTTAAGCGTGAACTCTGATCGATCAGCGTGCCTAGTGTAGTGTGGCATGTTTTTCCAGCGTCGTATCGGAGCTAGACCCTGATTCTTCTAATAGCGTGATTTCCATGAATCCCCCCCCCCCCCACCCTCCTCGTCAATCATGCCGACTTGAGTGTGACCGACCAGATTTCAGCCCCGCTGGAGAATATGCTGCCATTCTTCATCCAGCACATAGTGCTCGACGGGTTCTCATTGGCTGTTCGAAAGTAGCCAGCCACTGCTGTCTCCAACACAGCGTAGCTGCAGGGTTTCGATTGGCTCATCGCCAAATTACAGCCACAGCAGCCACTAGACCAGGTCTAATGTTAGACAGTTGGCCCACCAGCACAGCAGTACACCGCTACCCACCCGCTTCGTGAACCACATCCATGCATGCAGAACTCTGTTGCGAGCCGCGTGCCCTCCACAAACCTCAAGAGACCCCATCATCTTCATCTATCTCTTCAATCGATGCGGTGCTGCCACGCCAGCTGCCTCGTTCAAGCCGAGTGCTTCCACCCCCCGTCATTCCGTTTCTCCTCCACGGTTGTGACTGATTTTTTTACCGTTGCCATTGCGCGATGGCAGCACCTAGCGACGGTGATCCAGAAGGCGATGATGGTAGCATTCCTCGTGCAGACCTGTGCACGGGGCTCGACTTGCTCCTCTCGACACTGTCTAGCCTCACCCGCATCCCGATTAGAGCCGATGCTGCGCCTAGAGAACATGTACCTGCAAGAAAGGAAGTAGCAGACTCAATTTCCGATGTAGTCGTTCTTCCTGAGCAGAGTCTTAGGCCTGGTCCATCAGCACTAGCCGCCGTCGAGCGCTCTGCTACCGCGAAGACTACTCCCAAGTGCCTTGGTCGCTACCCTCTAGGCCAAGTTACCGTTCGCGAAGCCGAATCCGGGAATTGTCGAGCCGCCGGTGTCGATACCTGCTGATGACGATGAAGAGCCGTTTGAAGACGAGACACCTTCAACCTCCAGGAAGTCTCTGAGTCCTTCCGAGCTTTACGCTGAGGCTCATTCCCGTTACAAGTCGAGGTGGCAGGAGCAGTTTCCCTGGCTCTTTTTGTGTAAAATTAACGATGGGCGCCCTGCCTTTAAGTGTACCATCTGTCTGGAGCATGCAAGGCTCTCTAGAAGGACTGGTTGTCGTGGGCCAGGAATCACGGATGCACAAACACAAGCATTCAACAGGCACGCTGGTACCGGAAAACACCGCCTCGCGTTCGGGAAGCAAAACGTTCTGCTGCAGCGCTACTACCCAGACGCGAATCGATTAGAACCCGCATGCCGTGGATTTGGAGAGGGAGCGAGTGACCGCACTTCTCGACCTGTTGTACACCTGCTGCAAGACCAACGAGCCCATGGACACATGGGTCACGATCACCAACCACCTTGCCTCGCGGAAGTTCAAGAACTTCCCCGAGGGTGGATACGGGACGTACATGAACTCGTAAGCCCTAGATCCCTTTAGATTCCTAAGCTTCTTATTCTTACATTCGATCCTTATAAACCACTAACGACGAGATTTATTATGTTATTAAACGCAGGTACGGTTTTGGGGAGTTCACGCAATCCACCGCAACCTGGCTGCACTCCACCCAATTGGAGCACCTCTTGCGAAGCCCGTTCATCGGACTTAGCCTCGACGAGAGCACGGACCGTTGCAGAGGAAAGCACATGATAGTCTTCTGCACTTTCATCCGGGACCTCCACGTTGTCATCGAGTACATGGCGCTGCTCAGCGTTGACAAGGGGGACGCCTCTTCTTTGCTGGCTCTGCTGCTCTCCCACCTGCAGGCAATCAGTGTCGATCTCCGCCGCATCTCACGTATCAGCACAGACGGGGCGGCGGTGATGATGGGCTCGAAAGCCGGCCTGGTGACTCGACTCCGGATGCGTATCCCTCACCTGGTCTCCTGTCACTGTATCGCTCACCGGTAAGTATCCATTGTTGCATTACTGAGTGTCCAACACTTTGCACAGATGCTGATTCGGGAAAAAACTAGCTGTCACTCATGCTGGTTTGTTCGGTTTCTCCCCGTGTTCTCTTCCATGTGCAGAGCGGCGCTGGCAGCTAAGGCGGCGGCGGAGGACATGCCGTTCTTCAAGATCATCGATGATGTCATCAAGGAGCTGGCCGAGTTCCTTGGTCGCTCTGGACCGTGGCACCAGCGCTTCCTTGACCTCCAAGACGTCTTCCTCTCGACGTGCTTGGAGCTGCAGGGTATACACCAAGTCAGATGGCTCTCACGCGGTGAGGCCATCTGACGGCTGGTGAAGGTCTTGCCAGCCATCGTCGTCATGCTGTCCGAGTTGTCGACGACCGCCTTTACAAGATTGTCACGAGCTACAGGTTCTGGTTTGTGCTCATATTTCTTGCTGATGTTCTTGAGAAAATGAACATTCTCAACAAGACTTTCCAGACCCACGAGGTAAGTTTTGTCATATGGTGCTCCTAAACTGCTACTGACGCACCATTGTTGTCTTACATGTATTCTCAAACCCCTTCCCGCATCTGGACATGTCAACGATCCACGCGTCGGTCTCCCGCGTGACGTCCCTACTCGAAAGCCGCTACGTCGACTGCGGCGACGACTTCAACGGGGGCCCAAAAGACCTGCTCACGGCCTTCCTCACCCGTCACGGTCCTGGCGGTATGCGCAGCATCACTGTTGAGGGCGTCGACTCCAATGGGCGCCCGAGTTGATTCAGCTTCGACCTGCATGAGGAGCCATTAGATGGCTACCCGGGTGAGGGCAAGCACGACGATTGTGTCGTGGCGTGCATAGCGCTGGCCGAAGGCATGGTGCAGAACCTGGACGAGCGGCTGGGGGACTTGAAGCAGCTGGGTGGTTCGGTGTTTTTCTGTGCGGACCAATGGCCAAAGGGGTGGGAACGTGCTCCACGGAAGGCCCAATGTCTGGAGTGGTTCGGGATGATGGTCGACCTCTACCATGCAGGGGAAGCTGAAGATATTCTTCTAGGTATCTCACATGTCCTTGACCTCGAGGCTTGCACGATTTGTTGATGTGGTTCCGCTCTACCCTATTTTACTAGTACTCCCCTCGTTCCCCCTCCTACCCTTCCCCTACTGGCAGGCGTCAACAAGCGAGCGGCTGTGCTGGAGATCCCCCATTTTTGCCCTGTCCTTGCCGCCCTGCCAAAGAGTGACAAGGGCTTCTACACCGGCTTGACGACCATGCTGAAGTCTCCAAACTGGGAGGATAGCTTCCCCAATCTCGTCAAGCTGTGGTGCGCTCCGGCAGTTCTTCCCCTGAGCACAGTGGAATGTGAACGCGGGTTTTCCCGCCATAATGTGATTAAGAGCTGGCTGCGGGGCAGCATGAAGGACTCACGCCTTGGAGATTTGATGTGTATGAGCCTGCTACACTACGACCCGGACTGGGATGCCATCATTGACATCTGGAGAGCCTACAAGAAGAGGAAGCCCTACAGCATTGCCCCGCCAAGCAGAGCCCAGAAGTGCAGGAAGGGGAAAGAGAAGGAGGACGATTCCCCTGTAGACCATGACAGTGTGCAGGCAGAGGAGGATGCTTAAGTAGGTCCTAGTATGCCCATGTTAGATTGTAAAGCCTTGTCTTTAGAAAAGATAGTAATAATGGGCATGCAGTTGAACAGTGTGTTTTTTGTAGGTAACCCTACTTATTCAGCGCAAAATCTTTACAACACCCTGATTGATCAGCGTAAGTTTCTTAGCGAGGCCTGAAAAAACAGTGAGGTAAGGGGGGGGGGCCCTGAGCGATCAGCGTGCCCTAAAATGAATCTGAGGCCCTGGTGCCAAGGTTTCCTGAGATTCTAGGGATTAAGGGACATTTTGTGGTTCTTACTACCATATACAAAATACATGCATATGAATCTTTCCTGTATGGATCTTCACTTGTTTTTCATCTTCTGTTAAGAAGATGCATACCCCATCTTCTGTGGCCGATTGCTGTGCGATACATGGCTCACCAACTTAAAGCCTGAATCTCATAATTCAGGTTTCAGTTCAAGTGTAAAAGGTTTCGAACAGGGTTACGTGCTGGGCGACAGAAAGTTTCGAAGGGTGGGTTGCGTTTGGCTTGGGAGGGGTTTTGTTGCACGCTGATTGGCTGTAAAAGCCAGCCTCGTAAAAAAATAACGATGGCGACAACCGAACCGAGGTCTGGTGTGCGACGCGCCCCACGTACAACCAAGCGTACCGTGACGGAAACAGTTGTCCGGATGTTCAGTCTTATTTTGCATTTTGATTAGTGCTGCAGTGTAAACATTCAGCCTTAATTTATGGTGTGCATATACATTGAGAACATCAGTTAGAGCACTCATTCAAGTCGCCAAACACCAGAGTATTATAATACATGGTACGCAAACACCTAAGCATATCATAAGCACATCCGGACAATTTGTACCGAGGACAGGTAGCAAACTAGAATCATGGAAAACTAGTACCTAGTCCAGCGTCCCTTTGCGCGAATCACTGCCTTGATCCTCCTCGGCATACTGTCGATGAGGTTTGAACACACCTCCGCCGGTATCTTGTCCTATTCCTCCTGCTCCCTCTCCCACAGCTCCAGCATTCCACTAGGTGGT